CCCCCCCCCCCCCTCCGATTTCTGAAAAAAATTACTTATATTCCTCTCTCGGAATTAAAGAACTTTGACTAGCTGAGTCGTAGTTCTAAATGGCACCGATCGCCTTCTAAAATACCAAAATTTTTGCGGGGCCCTTCAGCAGACCCCCAACCCCACGCCGTGGACCCACCTTCAAATAATCCTGGATCCGCCCCTGATAAACACACAAAAACCTCAAAAACATGGATTAGACCTCTTTTCCCCTTGACAGAGGGAAGATACGACGTATTAAACCCATGAACGAAGTAAAGCCCTTGTATCAAGTAAAGGCTCCATATGTAGTATATTGGATCATTTAGTCAGCGAAACGGAAGGCCCTCTGGTTTCATGATTATTCACGATATAACCAATTAAAAATATCAAATATAGTGTATTCGTAAGCTTCAAGAAGCGTGGCTTGACCTGTAGGCCTATAGTTTTTATTTAAAAGAATTAATGGTAAGATTGTTAGGGGCATGTAGGGTGTATCATCGCTCGTGAAGAAAAGGGCGACATTACGTAAAAAAAACGCAGCTCTGGTTAATCAACTGGCAAAGCGTTAACGATAAGAAACGAGGTCAAATTAGAAATAGTTACAAACAGAGCATAGTACTGTTACTGGGAGTATCACTGAGTGTACATGTTCTCAGCACTGTGGCTCATATGGCACACTGCTACACCTACCACTTAACTTTTGTACATGTAAGTGTCATCATGTAGATTCATTGGATGGTAAAAGTTGCATTTTTGGCATTTCTTTTATTTCTACATCCATTCTCTCTGTGTCCATGCGCAAGCACCCGTAACACTGTTCATTATTCTTAATAATGCCAATTCTCTCGTCCATTCTCTTTTCTTGCATAACTGGGCATTGCTGCAGTTTATGCTGCTCCTTGCATAATAAACACTTTTGGACATGTCTCTCGTTGCTGGTTGTAGAGATAATAATAATAATTTATTAAGATTGCAACCCAGTGGTTTGAAGTTGTACATAGAGTGTTAAGAAAATTATAATGAAAATAAAATGAATATATGCTTGAATAAAACTGAGTTAAAAGACTGCTAATTGAACTTTAAAATTATTGTACTTAGGATAAAAGACAACATAATGCTATTGGAAATTTAAAAGTGCATATGGAATAAAAGAGCATCGGAATCTGTCGATCTTAAATTTTGGCACTTTGTATCTATTGTTTGATCTTAAAAGACGATTGGATTGCTCAGTTAAGATGTGATTCAGTTTGTCAGAGGATTCAGTTATTTTGTAAAAGAAAGTTTTGCACAGATCTTCCCTTCGTTTATCTAAAGTACACATATTTGCCAGGTTCAAGGCTTCGTCATAGTGTAGGTCAGGGAAAATAATCTTCAAAGCACGACTTTGGACAGTCTCTAAGAGTTTGCATTGCTCCATAGTTATTCCTGGGTGCCACACAGGGCAGGCATATTGTAGAATTGAGCGCACAATACTTTGGTAAACTTGAATTAAGTCAGCAGGACTGAGCTTAGCTCGCTTCAGTTGACGGAGGAAATAGTCTTGCGCAAGCCTTTTTATATATATATGATCCACATGAGTACCCCATTTTAGATCATTGCTAATATGGATGCCCAGAAGTTTGAACTGTGTAACCTCACAGATTGGCATATCATTTATAACTATTGGTGGGAGGTCTGGTGTAGAACGTGTAAATTTTAGGGTCATGGTAGACTTAAGGTTATAATATCATTACAATCAACACTTTGCCAGCATTTTATGTGCACCTTTAACAGCTTTTACACTTTATTCATAGGGCGGCCGGGTGGCTCCTTTTTAATTGTCAGGGATTTCAGCAAGTAGATAACATATACATGTAGTACAATGTAGAAGGTAACGTTTATCATCTTATAAGCAATCGCAATGTTTACATTTACTTTTTAGAAGTAGGGTAACAGGTGGTCTTCGAGTAAAGATCTACTAAATTTTCGGAGAAAATTTGACACTAATAGAATAAAAGCTTCTTAAGGCCGGTGAGAACTCCCAGAAAACCCACAGTATCATTATTAATTGAAATTATTCAAAGATGAAAAATTAGGCAAAATCACCGACCATATCTCGGCTGCCATTATTTCCTCACTTTATCTCAGCGTAGCTCGTAACATTCAATTTGTTGCGACACTATTAGCTAATAAGTACGATGTAGGAGGCTTGAGATTGGCGTTTTACATTACCTACTGTATGAAGTGAATCAATATGTTTTTAATTAAATAATTAATTATTTAGATTTAATGTGGGTAAAAGCATTAGTGTTATCTAAAAAACAACAACAGATTCTACTTTATCCACAATGACTGTTTGAAGGAAAGTGATAATGTTGACAAGAGATTATGAATGGTAATGTAAAATGGGTTTACGTGTATGGCTGCTTGCAGAATTATACTAGCATACTCCAGTCAAATGAAGAGATCGCAGAGAGGCGCCGCGTATACAGTGGCGGAATTAGGGATGGGGGGGGGGGGGGGGGGGTGGGGGGGGGGGGGGGGGGGGGGGGGGGGGGGGGGGGGGGGGGGGTCAGCGGGGTCCTGACTCCCCCTTCGATTTCTGAAAAAAACACACCAATGGTCCCCTCTTGAAGTTAGAATTTTGACTAGCTGAATCATAGTTGTAAAGAGTACCAAATGGCTTCCTGGATCCACCCCTGATATATGTTTAAGACTAAAGCTTGGAAATGAACAAACAAGCAGGACTCGAATGTGTTATAATAAGGTGAACGATTGTCGTGCTCTTTGTGAAATAAAAAAAAAAAAATATTCAAAGATTCCAAGTAAAATTTGGCATACGTGTTTACGTAAATGTAGCATTATTATAAAGATCACCTACATCATCAGTTACGAAAAGTTCGATGTCGAATTATCGTGGCCCCTCACCATGAAGAATTTATTGTGGTTAGGACAATTGTACTGTTAAATAATAGCACTTGTTTCTGCTTGTTTTGAAATTCAAGGCAAGATAGGAAGTCATATCACTGTTGGAGAAGGTTTGTATCAGGGGCGTAACCAGGCATACGCACGGATGCACTGTGCATACAATTTTTTGAGCCAACCATGATATTATTCTCCATAAATTCAGTGTATTGTTCACGGAATATAATCGTACCTGGGAATTTACAAAAACTGTGTGTACAATTTTAAAAGGACTGGTTACGCCCCTGTGTATGAAGGTGGATCAGACGTCGTTTGCCCTCGATAGAAGAAATATTTGGCGTACTTGTAGTAAACCCAGAGAATGAAATAAAGCCCTTTTAGAGTCGTGTGTAAATCCTCCATCAAAACAAGACTCCATTTCTTTTATATTTACTTTTTTGTCTTTAATTTCTCTCTATTAAATTCCTTCTTTTGTTTGTTTGTTTCAGGCATGAGTGATAATGACTACCGCTGAGATTTAAGTTTCCTCTAGGCCGGGTAAGACAGTAGTAATAGTGCGGGAAATAGAACAGCACATCTGAACATATTGAAGAAGGTGATGTTATGACTTCATCGGTGTCGGTTTGCAAGTGGACAAGTTCTTCACGCATGTTACTTGTTGTTTCAATACAGACTCTTACTTAGGGTAATTACAGTTATTATCTAGTCATTTATATTCTCTGCGCTCTACGCCCGGCTGCTGGTTAGCATCGGATGATATCATTAAGTCAGCGACACGGAAGGTCAACTGCAAGATCTATGTGTTTCAGGTATAGGGATTTGTTCTCCAGTCTTGAAAAAAATTCTGTGAAAACAATACAGAAAAAGAAGAACGCCGGCAGGGTCATTATATCAGCGGTACACTAGTCGAGCATGGTTAGGTTGGGAAAAGGGTTATCTACTTTCCTGACGTTTTGGGCCATCCAGTTCCTGATATTGGTGACATTGCTTCTCCTGATCTACAACAGACGTGAAACGACCAAGTTCACGCATCCCATAAAAACAATGATCAACGGCACTGTGAACAATGAGAACGGACAGGAAACGAAGAACGTCACGGAATGCCCTAGGGTTGTGACGGAATTACACGAATTAGGTAAGTTTTCAAAGATTTGACTTTTGCTAGATCGGCCCAGTCTAGTGTTAAACCATGAATAAAATGCTAACCCCAAGGAATAACAGCAATGTGGTTTACTTGCGTCCCTTTAACTTGCTTCTTTTTTTTCAGTTGGATACAAGATCACGTCTTTAAAAGCATCATCTTTAGAAGAAATTGAAACAAGACACCCGGATGTGACATCTGGCGGTTCATGGTCACCACGTGACTGCCAACCCAGGTCACGTGCCCTGATTATAATACCTTTTCGAGATAGATGGCCCCACTTAGTTCGTTGGTTTGAAAATTATCTACCCATTTTCAAAAGACAGAAGCTAGACTTCAGGATCGTTTTAACAGAACAGGTAAACTTTGTCTACACAAGGTTTAAATCGTACATTCTTTACTTATTTATTTTATTGAGAGCATCATTTTCACTCTAACATTTGGTCATAAGGGGGGGGGGGAGAAACGTCCCCCGACACATTACTATTCTAATTATTATTTTATTATTTTTTTTTCATTATTCAGATATATTGCCTTTGATCATATCAATGTCTGATTATTAAATATATACATAGAGTGAGATGTATGTGTACTTGTACAGCTAAATATTTTGTTAATCGCAGAATCTGACGGCACATTTTATTGCTTGTCGTCTGCACACCCGTAGTTTCATCCTTATAAATGATATCATCTTCAATTTAGTAAGCCCGCGGAGAATTAATGCCCGTTTACTATTTCAGTACGGCAACAGTACGTTTAACAAAGGCAGGATCATGAACGCAGCATTTACAGAGAGTTGGAAAATATTTCACTTTGACTGTGTGATATTCCATGACGTTGACATGTTGTTAGAAAATGACCACAATTTGTACCACTGCCGGGACTTGCCCACCCACCTGTCGCCCTCTGTCAGCAAGTTTGGATACGAGTAGGTTTCTAACATCTTCTCTTCTCATCAGCTTTCTTTTTTTTTTTTTTTTTGCCTCCAGAATATTGTGTTGAAATGGGCTCTCTCTCTCTCTCTCTCTCTCTCTCTCTCTCCTGTACCCAATGTTTATGTATTATATTATATTATATTATATTATATTATATTATATTATATTATGTTATATTATATTATATTGTAGTCTGTTACAAAGTTGAATACTTAAAAATATTCAATTTAAATTTGTAACAAACTTTAGAGCCCCCTGTCATATGGCAGTTAAACGACAGACCTGGGTATTTTTCAGCACTATGTATGATACACTAATAGGCGGAGTGATATCCTTTCCTGTTGCGGCTTACTTCAAAGTGAACGGCTACTCCAACTTGTACTGGGGATGGGGCGGAGAGGACGACGACATGTATACAAGGTGAGGTTCAGATTGGCTTTGGAGGTTGGCCGCCATTGAACAGGGGGGGGGGGGGGGGGGGGGGGGGCTGGGGGGGAGAGGGGGCGTAATTGCCCCCATGTTAAGGATTATTGAAAAAAATGTTGTTACCATTATTATAAGGCCTACCATTATTTCGTCGTGGAGGTGATTGTATATTGTGTAAGCATTTTTATAGCTCAGGAAGTCATGGATGGATTTTGAGGAAATTTTTAGGGTAGGTAAGAAATGGACTAACTTATATGTAATCATGTTTTAGGGTGATATTCGGTATGGATCACCATTTAAACCTGAAAATTAAAAAAAAAACTTCATCATTAAGTGGGGTCTAGGGGAGGGGGGCACCCAGGACACTAATATTTTTGGCTCCCCAAAAGTCTGAAACCCGCAGATAGTTGATAAAATGCCACCCCTGGTAATTCTGAGTTTGAAGGCTAACAGTGTTTCTCTGTAATCAAATATCCGATAAGTGACTTCACTTCGGAGACGTTGCTGTTGTAATGTTAAACAGTCAGTCCAGCATTTTTAATTTTTATATTTTTACACATTTAATTGTTATATGTGTTACTTTGATGATGGACATTATATTAAAGGATTCCCTGGAATGTTTTCATTACCAGTACTAGTGTGACAGGTATGGTAGCCTGCTAAGAACTATAGTCGGTTCCCCATTACTTTGTACAGGTGACATTTGTCCCATATACTAACCCCAATACTCCAACTAACCCTAACCTGTACAAATCATACGAGACCCTGGACTTCCATTCCTAGGACTGCCATTCCTGCCACACCTGTCAGTACATATATATATTACATTTTTGGGTAGTCGTCTAAGTCGGTTATCTTTGTTTTAGGCTCAAACAATCAAAATTAAAGCTGCAGCGGCCGCCACAAATAATTGGTCGCTACAAAATGATCGTGCACAAGCAGAGGGAATGGGTGCTTTTCAAAAGAGAAATGTACGTATATCTAGAAATATAGTGAAGGGTTATACTAAGGGCTCGTTCCCAACGAAACTATCGTTCTATGTAGATCGATCCAACCACGTGGTGAATCTCGCTGAATGCATTCAGATTAACAGATTTAATCGGATATTAAAACACGCCTCTTGACGTTGAGCAGAATACAAAAAATCCAGTGATTATAGAAGTACCGTAGAAACAAAAAATGAGACTTGTTAATCTGATTGCATGGAGCGATATTAATTCTTGATTCGCATTATTATTTTTTAGCTGCGGGTATCTAGGAATCTAAACATTGAGCCATTTCAGGCTGCTCGTGACCCTCCACAATGAAGTGGTCGAGGTCATCCAAACGTTTGGCACGTTTCAATGTTTTGACACCCAGAATCTTTTTAATATATAACTGACATTTTATATATCAGCGTTGTATGAATCGCACATTTACCTACGAAGTTATAATTAATACCCTCAGATTGCATCAAGCCGTAATGGCATCTTTGCATTGCATATCATCATGAGAACATTGTGCTCGGTAATCTAAACATTTTTCTCATTTTACAGGGACTCTTTACTAGCAGGAACAAAATCTCGTTACAGGCAGGATGGACTTAGTAATGTCAAGTATAAACTAGTAGGAAAAAAGACCAGAAAACTCTTCACTCATTTTACCTTTGATATCGGGGTTTGGGAACACGAAGGAAGGACAGAAAACATAAAAGGCCAATAAATTTCATGGCTGAGAAGATATTTTTTTAATTTTCTAGTTTTTAAAACATTTTTGTGCAATTTGTCGTAAGTTGCTTCCGTTTCACGTCTGCCTTCATCGCCCGTACCAACAGATCAGACTGATCTTAAAACTCAGCAATAATCTGAATTCACATTTGTTTTAATGTCAGTTTTTTATTATGCTCCAAGAGATATCATAAAAATATAACAAGAATTTCCACACGTCGTAATTGAACAAACGTGCAAAATGAATGTTCAACCAAATTATTTGATTTACAGAGAACGTGAGATGGACCTCTAGCGACTTTTTTAAATGAACGTCATTCTAGCCTACACCGATGCATTTCATGTTAAATTCAAACATATTAAATTCAAACAGATGTAGAGACCTGGGATTCCAATCAAGCTGCCAGACGCTAGTACTAGATGAACACGTTTTTCGTTCCGCTGCGAGTAATGCACCTCAAAGGATTTAATATCCAAGACCGTTTTCACTTCGAGAGGTATACCAATAAACTAAGCTGTCTCGTCTCGTTAAACAAACATTTCCACAAAAAAATTAATACGTAACTACAGATTGAGAAGAAAATGTATGATGATCATTCAGAAAAACGTGTTTTACTTCCAACAATATGACGGTGCTCCCTTTAACAATAGTGGTTATAAAATAAATAAAAAAATAAAAATACCTATTTACGTGTTCACATTGATAAGTGAAAGGAATGGATTACACGTTTTAATATCCTTGACCTTTACACAATGTATGATGGTTTAATGCAACCCATCACTGGTATCATCATGTTACTTTTAAATCCCCCTGCCTCTTACGCCCTCATCTTGTGACACTTGGCCTAAGACGAACGTGCATATATGAAAAGGTAAATGCATAAGGTTCTGGCTATTACTCACTGAAGGTGTGTGTGTTTTCTAAGAGACCATTCCCAGAGCCTATCGTACTAACTGTGGATCGATCTATCTCCAAGGGGATTCTCACTAAATTGCAATCGACTAAAGCGGCTTTGATGGCTGTCGCGCCTACTGAAACAGCAAGTAGGTGATTAATTATCGTTTACCAGCTTTAGCCAAGCTGCTTAAGCTGAAAGCAATTTCTCGAGAAACCTCTTGGAGACGGACCGATCCCGTAAGATCGATCTAGGTATGGGAACCCTGTCTAAGGCTCTGTCACACATACCGTAAAGACATCGATTATACGCACAACTGTGAGTGTATGCCTGCACCGTGTCTACGCATTCAAATGGCAATGCAAGCACGAAATAAAATTGTTACCGAACGTGCCCCAAATGTTTTCGCGTTATGACGAGCCCTTTGCGTTTGTCTGCCCACGATTAATTTTTCTCGTACGTAAGTTCTGTACGCTAAGTGTGACAGTGCCTTTGGGAGCCGCTCTCCGGAAAGGTAGGGTGCACAACGTCAGGAAGGAATGCTCACTCAAATGGATTTTGATTCATATAAGCCAGTTTCTTAAGGAGAAAAGAATTCTACAGCTACTTGTGCCTAAACCCCCTTTATACTGGACGCCGCCCTTTCTGCGTCCGCTGTGCAACCAAGAAACTGGCAACGCTGTGGTCGTAAAAAGGAACAGAAATATGGCTTTGATTGCAGATAGGCCATTTGTCGGCACTTAAAGTATTATTATTTGTCAACTACCAAACGGGGCCGTACTCCAGGACGCAGAAGGGACGCCGACCAGTATAAAGGGGGCTTTAGGAGCAGTGTCTCATATGCCGAATGCATTCCGAGGTGCATGTGTTACTTGGGGGAGAGTAGACGAAAAGAACAATTATTTCTGCAGCTGTACACCCCACCTTCCGGAGACTGCCTTCTTACTCATCCTTCGTAGTCCTTTCTTCTGTTAAACATTAAAAATTAAGTTTACGTTGATAGAAGATTCTGATCGAGGTTGTACATGTGACAATAAATGCATAATCTTTTAATTATATCCATATCAAACATATATACAACTGAGAAAAAAATCTAACAAAATAGTAGCCCTTACTTCCCTGTCAAATATTCATAGTCTATACAGATATGTTGTACTATGCACAGGTAAAAGCTGATTAAGTTACATAACACTACACAGCAAAGCACATTAAACCCCTAACCCTATAATATGGCAGAATATTAGATAATTATATATAAGTATGTGACCAAAGGTGGTCATATTAATTGTATAACATTGTAATATGGAATATCAGCTGACAAATGCCTTCAAGGTACTCTAAATAACTACCTCCCTAGAATAGCTTTAGTGTGGACATACCTAGCAGAAAGGAATTCAGCATATCATCAAGCCCCCCTTCCCCCCCTTTACTGTCCCATTAAAAGTAAATGTCCTGTATGCATCTTGGCTGGTACATGTCAACCCTGCCCCCAAGTCCAGGCTAGATGGACCACTTTTGCCATAAAACTGGACAAAACTGCAGCAGAATTTTTTTTTTTTTTTTTTTTTTTTTTTTTGCATAATGCAATTCCTTGAAGTCTCCTTGTCAATAACTCAATGTCCCGAAAAATCCACGCATGGGGAAAAAAATCCAAAATGGCCACCAATTACCATAGAAATACATGCTTAAGCATAAACAATCTGTTGCAATTGTGTCCACAAAGTGTATATCCCCTGGACTCCTCTCCGTCTATCCTGGCAGGTGCCCCATGTCTAGTATGCAGTATAGAAGACGTTGTCCTCCCAGGCGTGGTGTTTCTGTTTCTTATACTGGATACGGAGGTGCTCAGTGAGTGGCGTGCGTGAGGTCTCCATGTACATTACTTGCTCCAGTACGTCCTCCTCCTTCATCCTGAATGTGCGAACTATCTGGAACGTTTGAACAGGGAATATATGGGTCATCATTATGGTGGATGATAACAGTAACAGTACTCTGTCACAAAATGCAAAAATACTGCCATGAGTTAAGTCTGTGGACCGTCTGCCATCTTCATCAGTTGTTAAGTGACACAGATAGCACTGTGTCACACAGTTGAAATCATTTGTCCCCCCCCCCCCCCCCACACACACACACTTTAGTGAAGTAGCCGAGGGTTGGTGGTCCATTGAATATCTCATGTAAGTAATCTTGCAATTTGAGAAAAAAAGAATATTTGGTTTATATCAACAATCAGGTGGCAGCTCTGAGTAATAAATTATTTTCATTTTGTTTTTTTTATTTCTGTTAATTCTACTATTCATCCTTCTTGTTTCTCATACTTGACATATTATGGAATTCACACATTTTCATTCCACAAAACAAGTTTAAGTAGTGGTACTTATCACATTTTTCTTTTTCTGCTTACTTCATCATTATCCATTCATTTATATACTTACTTCATTGTTTGTTTGTTTAATATCAACCCTAGCATTATCTTATCTATTCCACACAACCCATCACATTAGTACCTTGAAATGTTAATTAAGCGTACACGCTGGAAAGGAATAAGGGCCTCGACCTGTTTATTCTTAATAATTCTACATCAGACACAAGACACATGCTCCATGATCAGCCAATCCAGTAATCACTTCCCAGCACAATGCTCAGCACATCCTTCTCAACTACTGCAATGACAGCATCTCCCACCTACCACAACCAAGCCACTACAGTTCTTTATCTTCAGATTTCTAATCCAGGCTGTGTTATTTCACACACCTTGCATCACTAATGACAAAGGCACCATTGCTGAAGCGCAACTTTCATATCAAACATAACCGAAAGTGTCACCCAAATAAAAACATTATTTATATACAGACCTAAAAAAGTTAGGACACTAGACATTTTATTTGTACATTGGGTTTTGACTGAAAATTGAAAAATTAAAATAAATATATGAATAAATAAATTATAAATAATTTAGGAGTTAAGAACAACCGTCAGGTTTAAGTAATTTTGTAAAACTGGATTCTGTTGTGATCAAATCCCTAATTTCAGACTGACTGTCCACACATACACTGTCTGAGCAGGTGCTTGCTCTTTTACTGTCCTTCCCCTTCTGATATCTGACATTTTCATCTTGAACTATAAACATCTTCATTAACGCCTAGGAGTGCAAGGAATGCCCAAAATCACAGGGTAAGTGCAGAAACGTCTGCCAAACTGGCAATTACCAGAACATGTGTTTCCCGACATTGACTCTAAGTCACCATTGAGTGTTTTCTGGCATCTCGAAAACAACCATGCATAGCTTTGATGGTGAAATCAAAGAGCATAAAACACGGTGGCTGATCATAAAATAATTTGATGCACTTGGTAATTCATGAAACAATGCCAACACTATTTTACTCTCCTTTTAAGTTGCTGTTTTTGACCCAATTAGATGACGGGAATCAAAATTATGGTACAGACTACACACTGAACACAGCAATTTACAGCCCTCCGATCCAAACCATTGCCTGTTTTTTTTTTCCCAAAGAAAAAATTAAGAAATACATAGAGGAAAGACACTCCAAGAGAACTAAAATTTGTACGTTCAACCAGAAAATCAAACACAAACATAGATCAAAAATTTAAAGAGTGGTTCAAAAGCCATTCAACAGAAATCTACCTTCTTCACTGAGGGTTCACTGCCAAATGACAGCCTGGAAATTCCTTTTGATTCAAGTTTTATTGTCGTTCCATTAACTTCCCCTTCTTCTACTTCAGACAAACCTGAAATTGTAACATGTAACACAATCCTGACAGGTGTTAAGGGATAGTTAAGGGATGGAGGATCACCAGGATGGGTGACAATAGGATAAGGGATAAGGGATAAGAAAGGGGTGGTGGTGGAAGTAATAGTTCTTGTTTCTCTCAATCACGGAATATGCAAATCATAACCCTGAAATGTATAAAGTTTTTTGTTCAGATTTTTTCCCCGCAAAGGGTAATGGAAGAATACGTAGCTGTTTCATGGTACTTTCTGCAAAAATGTGTGTGGTGCAAGTTTAATGAACAGACATGCAGTATCACACGTCATTAAAATAGATAAAAAAAATATAACAGTATATTCTCAAACCACACAAGTAGGTTGATAGAGAACACAAACAATTAGGTGTATTTATAGTGCAGATAGGCTGCCCATTCTCTAGAGAGTGCCTGATAAAGATATGCTCACCACAGACAGTGAGTGAAATTCCTTCACACCTGTTTAAATATATAATTGTTTAAAAAGTCAAATCAAGTCACATTATGATTGGAATGGCTGATAATTTGTCATAAATGTATTGGCCTCTTTCAGGCTCTTCAGACAATAAAGTAATTGTGTATTTATTGTCAATAAATAAATAAATAAATAAATTCCCAACAATAAATACACAATCATTTTATTGTCTGAAGAGCCTGACAACCTGCATCAAACTGTGGTGATGGGTTTAAGAGATGGGGCTGCCTAACTTGTGTGGCAATGCGTCTTTAGATGCCCATAGCAACCCATGCAAATAAGAACACTGGAATTATATAACAGCCACACCTAAAGCATAGCAAAGCAAGTGCATGCTGGTAATAGATAAATAGAGATAAAAGAATGAATAAATGATATAAAATATTTAAACACAAGTGAAGTGATAACAACACTTTCAAAATGAATGTTTTGGAAATAACATCCCGAAAAAAAGTTGTGATAACAAACAAGTAAAGTGAAAAAATAACTAAATAAATAAACTGTGTTAAAAAAGTTCAGATTACTCTTGGGGAAGCAAAAACTTGCCAAAAGTGTATCAAATTACAGAAGTTTCCTCTGAGAAGACAGATTTTTCTTTATCTGTTCCCATTTCTTTAACTCACTTCACAAGCAAAAAGATGCGGAAAATATTACTCAAAGAAAACTTTATTTCACCTTCTTCACTGCTGGTTCTTTACCAAAAGACACCCGAACACACTGAGTAGAAGTGAGGTGCATGGAGCGGCCCGCCAGTTCCCCCTCCTCTACCTCAGACAAGCCTAGAGCCAAACAAACGCTGCAGATATAAAGATCACTGAAGCAAAACCGCTGCAATCAAACATGCACATAGTGAACAGAGCTTTAAATAATTTGCAGAAACACAAACAAGCAAAAGAAATTTATAGTCTGTGACATGTTTTTGTGTTGTTACACAGGAAGAAAGAAAGGAAATAATGAGGGGGGGGGGGCAGTGACATGCAAATTAACATATAAACTGGACTATAAATAGAGGTCATGCATATTGACTGGTACATAATAATAATAATAATAATAATAATAATAATAATAATTATTATTATTATAACATTAAAGGAAATAAAAATAAATGGATAAATAAATCAAGGATAAAATTCAAGTGACAAGTAAAAATCAGAAAAAGTCTTTGTAATGTCTTCGTTCTTCGAGCCTCAGATTCGATGCTTGCCATGCTTGGAAGCTTGCCAGGCCAATAAAAAACAAAATATCATTAAAAAGTTGTCCAGATTTCCTGGTTGCACAGAGGGATATGCAATACACTGAATACATTGATCCAGTGCAATGCAATGAATAGATGGTAAAATTCACACGCAACAAGCAGGTATGAATGGAAATTTGGAGATAAAGAAGTTGCCCTGAGTAGCAAAGTCTTGTGTGTATTTGTAGCATAGTATTTGGCACGGATGCAGATGTGGGCATATACACAAGACAGGTGCTTGAATCAGAAATACCCCCCCCCCCCCCCACCTGTGTATTAAGGTTGTGGTACTATAAATTCCAGTGGATTTAAATCATTAAAGTTAAATGTGCTGACAATGTAAATGTATTGTAGAAAGGGTTTTCAAAAACATGTACTTGTAAGTAAATTTCTGGCTTTTTTTAGTGTGTATGAATTATTTTGGAATGACATGCTTCTTGCCTCACTTTCTACAGGTAATCATTGCTCTGATAGGATTATACCACTGACAACTAATTAAAATCTCAAATCTTAACAAACATTTTGAACAAAAGTGAGCAGAACTGGCTTTCTAAAAACGCCAAGGCAAAATTTCCATCATTTGCACAGAATTAAGCAAGAGTGTTGAAGTGAGAGACACTGCAAGCATGCTTTTTAAAACAGCATTTTGTAGTATATGATTTATTTTGTCAGGCTGGAACAAAATATGTCCATAAGTTATTTCAAAATTTGTACATTTATATATATATATTCATATGTCTGGCCTATGACATAAAAGATATAACAACTCAGTATTAACAAATCTATCTTACCAGCTCAAAACTTCATTACAAAAATAACTTAATAATAATAATAATAATAATAATAATAATAATAATAATAATAAATGCCAGCAGGTGGCACCAAGCAGTTTCCAACCCCTCACCCAAGAGGAGCCCCATCCTCACCCGTATTATGAGCTATGATGAAGGCCACATGTAGACTACCAGGCTGTAGCCTGACATATCCTATCTCCCTGTGCATGGGGGTGTCATGGTCACCCATCCAAGAGTAGGCCCTGGAACAGAGCAGAGAGGAACTTAAATACAGTTATACTGGCAAATGTAGCATATAAAACTGTGATACTGAACAATATAAATCCTGAATTAAAAAAAAAAAAAGGGGAGAAGTTTCATTCTCGGCAAATTGTAACACAGAAATCACAAAATTGTTCAATGCAAATCTTGAAGTAGAGAAGAGAGGAGCTTCATTCTTGGCAAATGTAGAAATTATGTTGTACAGTACAAGTCCTGAATATTAGAGCAGATCGAGAAGCTCTTAATTTTTTTGTTGATCGTCTTCTACAATAGCCAGGTTATTAAGTTGTCAATCTCTCAAAAGTGTGGACATACTGCACCAGGTGAATAGGGCCATATACAATGTCATTCCATCATATAGTATATAACCTAAAAAATAACAGCTGATCACACCCCCTTGGCTTGACCTCAAATAACCACACACAATAGGTAAAGAATGTTTCACCCGACCGAACAGTGGGAATTCCAAAGGTGTTTTTATCAAGGTGGCACGCACAAGGCTCCACATAAAATATAAGTTATGGGTGGAAAAGTTCACATCTCAAAAAAGGTCAAATCCCTGGGCATTATCTGGGTTACTATGCAGAGTGTGAAAAGACAGTTAGTTTTCAGTGCCATCAATTATTTATTAGGTTGGGAGTAAAAATGCAGGCAAATTACGCATGCCGAGTAGTTTATCGTTGGTTCTGTCAAACAACTCAACTGAGTAAAAATAAACTAATTTAATATGAAATGTTGTGTATATGGTTGTCAATTAAGTGCATCAGCTACGCAATGGCTTGTTGTTGACTTACTTGCTCTAAAAACTTTTGAAAGATCAAGGTTACATGAACAATTTTTTGTTATAAAAAAAATTATGTGCAAACTTTATCAGTTGAACCATATGGCCTTTCAAATAGAAAAGTCATAATATTAATAATAACAATTGTAACTGTGGGTATTTATTTTTAACACGTTTCCTACAAATGCAATTGGATGCTACTTGTAACATAAAACATTAAGCAACATTTACAAAACTGACCTAGAGCTCATTGACAATGAAACTTTGTTCTACAGGGATTGATCCAATTCTGTAGGGAATCTAACGGAATGTACTCATCAAATTAACATACCTCTCCTGACATTGTGTAGAATTTTTAACAGCTGGTGATTATGCGAGAGCGCTGGCAACAAGAGGAGGCATGTTAATCTGTGAAACATTCAGGAAGAGTGCTCGCAACATTTCTTCGATCTGTGTAAAACGTACAGTAAAGTCCTAGGTCAAATGTATGTATGGGGACCCTCTCTAATGACCCATGACGGCCTGGGTGGCAACTCCATGCATTTTTTAAAGGACCATATCCCATTGTTTTCAGGTACTATTATTGTATACAGCATGTGAAGCAACAGACCAATGCATATTGAGATGTTTTAGATTCCTAGCTAGCCTAGGTTAAGTAAATGTGAAAATATGGCCAGTCACGTACTGCAAGTAGCCCGTTTTATACACAGTAAATTCACCAGGTATACTTCACCATTTTACTTATAAATACAATACCAATCATTAATGTATCGAGTTGCAATTTCCAAAATATCCTATTTATATATACTGGGGTAGAGTACATTTTTGAAGATTCTACTTCCCTTTGCCTGCAGTTTATGTACTCCTTGCATGTCTGTTTTGTTCAATTTTTCTCTTCCTTTTTTTTTATGGCAGGGTTATGAATTTCAGCATTCAAAAACAATCATGCATGATTTTGTCACAAAGTACCTAAAATTGAATCGAACAATAAAATTTTGGACAATAAAAAAGTATCGAAGACAACAAAAGAACCCTTTTCTGTCATTCAACTGAGCACTTGTAAAGAGGAGTTGTGCAGGTGCCCTTCATTTCACATCAACACCGGCTGTTATAAACCTGGTTACATGGTTGACTTACCACCTGCACTGACAGGTGCTTGAATAACACATCACCCACTTGTCAATTATCACAAAGTCAGACACACACTGAAGTGTCAACAGACATTTCTATGACTATTTTCACTAGCTGTGCTTATTTCTGTACTGTGAGAATTTTTCTACAAATATGTCATCACCCAGGCAGCCTCTGACAGGGCACAGTTCATGAATATCTGTTACTTCATAGTCAGTCATCTTTCTAATCTCTTTGCATCTCAGGATTTTTGTTCACATATAAATGTATTCCTTTTTAGAAAAAAAAATTTTTATATATTGATATATGTGGGCATCTACTTCATTAACAGTGGACTTAATAGTGATTACATATTACTGTCTTGTATTGTTACATTGAAAAATTCCTCAAGCGTTCTCGTGCATGGTCCAGAGCACTTTCACACCTACCTATACCATGGACTGTAAACTCACACCTACCTATACTGTAGATTGGGCTGTCCTATATGTGAGAACTCCACCTCTTCTCCATAAGTGAAGTTCTTCATTGTTGGGTACATCCCTCGGCCGTGCTCTGATCGCCATTTTCCCAGTAGCCATGCTAAAGGTTTGACGACTTCATGCAGCTGAGGCGGTTTTGCTGGAAATAATGTGACCTTGAAAACAGATTTGGCTAAATTCTTGAAAATTTTCTTTTTACCAAACAAACTTTTAGGATGTAGGAATGAGTTTTGGCAGGTAGGTCAGTAAAGTCTTTACTTTTTTATAACTGACCAATTCCAGCAACCCTTGTGAAATCTAAAACATGACAGTTTTCAATAATTCATCATCAAAAACAGTGTGTGTGTGTGTGTGTGTGTGTGTGTATATTAAGATGAGTTATGATTTTTTGGGAGAAAGAACCTCAACCCATTAATGGTGATTGCTGAAAAAAATGACTGTGATGAAATGCCTACTAGTAAAAATGTGACCTCATTATCAAAACATATCAAATTTAACATTTACTTAAATTGCCAAAATATTTGCAGTTAAACATTTTGTATAAATATTCAGGAAAAATAAATGACAAATTATAAATACAACATACTTACAGCATGACATGAGTCTGACTGGTGTTATACTACTGCATGCACTTCTGAAAGAAAAGAAAAACATCAAACAAACACATGGATGTTATCACAAGTGAGGTATTTCAGGACTTGACCCAAGGCACACAACTTGACACAAGCAATCAATTAAATCAAGATCTGACATATTCTATTTCTTTTGATTTCTTTCATGATTAACAGATTTTCTAACTTCTTAATGAACAAAAAAAAAAAAAATTCAACATTTGTTGGCATAAGGCCTTAGATGTATCATACTTCAATCATCTGCATCAGTTATTATGGCACTTAATAAATAAATATAAAGAGATAAATAATAAAATAAAATAAAATAAATAAATACAGTTTTGAAATCCCAGATAAATTAAGCTACATAAATAACATTAACCCAAATGGATCTTTTCAGCTTTTACATTTACTAATCCACTTAACAAGGAGTGTCAACATACACTCGTTAAGTAAACATTAAGGTTAAGTGTGATAAAATAATCTAGGATTGGCCTGAGAAGAAAAAGGTCACTGAAAAATACTTAACTCCACTCATACTTAAGTATCACATGGAAAGACGAAGACTGTAAATGTGTCCGAGTTTATCGTAATTATCCAGACCTATTCCTAAGTTGCCTTTTCAAAAAACTGAATAATTTTTACTGACCCACAAGACTTGTCTTTCCCACAGTTAGATGTCACCCATGCATAACAACGTATTCTCTCCAAAAAAACATTTCGACCTTTCAGAATACTGTACGAGAACTTCATCGTCCCTCCTGTTGTAACTGCTGTTGTGTGTGACAAAACTGCGTCTGTCTGACATAACTTACCCTTCTAACACGTTTCCAGCGTTCAAGCAGCCGCGAACGGTGAGTTCTTGCTCGTTTTGTGTGTTAAGGACAACATCAAGGTCACACAGCGCCGCCAGATGTCGCGCTACCACCACTTAAATAATACCTTTGATTTGATTGGACACAAACTTTCGGCTTTAATTTTTCTACCAATCAGCGGGGATTTCACAAATTTTGTTGCACGCATGCGCGTTTGCTTTGTTATTGTCGTCTGAAAATGATGGAAGAAATGGTAGCAGGTAAAAAAGTATTTTTCTGAATATTTTAATGCTCCATGATATAAAAACAAAGAATAGGAAAGACTCACGGTCAATTTTGTAGCCGAAAGCTATATCGTAGGAGGATCTGACGTATCTGCGATGTCAAATGATCAATATTTATCAACTACTTCCGGATTAAGTCAGCTGATTTCGTCGTTCATTTTGCACAGCTGTGTTGTGTTATGAAACCTCAAGTAGTGACTAGTGCATGTGGCAATGTATTGGTGTAATATTTCGAGTAATATTTATATTGCACTTTTCATCCATGTTCTCTGTGTTATTTAGTGGAAGTATAAAAGCACGTAGATCTACTTCTTTTATGGTACGTCGCATTTCACTTAATATGCATTTGAAGCCAGTTGTCAAGTGAATGACGACCAAATGCCACCATAAAAGGCATATCGTTTCAGATAGCATAGTAATACCATAGTGTATCATTTCATATTCTACAAGAACGTTTATTATTTTTATGCTTTCTTTTTCTAATTTAAAGCTGTAACTCTGCTAGTCAAGGCCTCATGACAAGCTAAACGAAAATGATTCTAGAGTAGAGAATGAAAGTAGAGAGCTCAGAACAAAAGTTAGTGGTGCTAGTTGTTTGATTTTGCGAACCTCTATAAAAACTGCCCCTGAATGTCAGATTTTAACCCCTCCTTCCATTGCTTAATTTTCTAACTCAGAAAAAAATGTGTGCACCCTGATGAAAGACTGTTTTGATATCAAGTGAGCACCTGGGTTGGCACAGTGTTGTTAGTATGGGTCACATAGTTTGATATGCCCTTGGATATTCTTAGACTCTTGCTACCTGAGTTTTGTTGGTTTTACTATGGCTAGTAGCAGAGTACAGTAAGGGCATAAGCTTAAGACACTTCCCTCTTACCTAAACTGAGGTGGTTAAAAGGATAACAACTTCACAATTTTATAAATATGTTGTAAAAAAAACTTACAGAAGTAGATTTCATTTTAATACCAAAACAGCAGTTATCGCAATCAAACCGCATTCAGATGACTATACCTTCAAATAATCTTGTTGAGAGAATCACAAGGAAAAAAAAAAACACGGAGTAACTTTGAATATCAGAATAGATTCATAAACCAATGATCAATAAGTATGGGGAAATTGTCATTTACCTCAGGAAAATCCATTTTTGACCAAAGTAAACAGTTATTATCCCCTTAATAACCATTACCTGTTCTATTTTACAGCTGCCTATACATATGAACCAGGATTACTTGAACATGAAGGGTTCCCAAAGACTGAACAACCAGTTTATATACTGGGGAAATCTTACAGCACACTATACGGTATTTGGCTGCCATTCTATTTTATCCTTCACCTCTATGAAATCATTAACGAGAACCCTTGATAAAGATGTTGCCTACCAAAGATCTATCAGATGATTAAATTCATTAACAAAGTAAAATAATAGAATAAAGTGCAGTAGAATTATTCATTTATTTGTTTATTTATTTATTTAACATGGTTACTGTGATAATTTCAGACATGGATGAACTGATGAGTGACATAATGTCTAGACTGTGGTTCACCTACAGGAGAGGTTTCAGTGCCATTGGCAAGTATCATTTAAAACTTCTTAGTGTCTAGTAGGCTGATAACTGCCAACAGAACAAAAGCAAATACATAACCTCCTTGGCTTGACCTAGTATATATGATTTGGCAATTGTTCCTTGCATTGGCGTAGGTAGATATATGAGTTGTTTTCTTTACCCAGGAGGTACAGGTCCCATGTCAGACCAGGGCTGGGGTTGTATGCTGCGTTGTGGTCAGATGATGGTTGCCCAGGCACTGATACATTTACACATTGGACGAGGTAGGTGATAGTCAAGAGTATTGGTACATGCAATGGTCACTCTGGCATTGTTCTAAGTGCTAGTTATTTATTTATTTATTTATTTATTTATTTATATTTGTTACTGGCCACTCTTTCTGCTTTGGGCCAACAGAATGAGGTTCAAAAGAGTTTTTTCTTTTAGAAACGGTGTACTTTTGCCATTATTGTGCACAACATTCCCAACATGATTTTGTACATATATTTCAGATTGGATGTGGGACAGAGACAAACCTGATCCCACATACCTAAGGATACTAAAGATGTTCCAGGATAAGAAGAATGCCTGTTATTCCATACACCAAATAGGTATGAATGTGGCCTCTTTCCACAAAAGTTCCTGGGCTATGCAGAGGTTGCTTAAATCATATGGCTGACTAAGCAAAGAGCTTTGTAGTACAAGTCTCTTAGAATGATTGCCCTGTGATTATTATGGTTATTATAAACTGAGATACAAGTGCAGTGACATGTGGGGTGTTCACAATAAGACTATTGTACTAGGTAGATTGATTGAACTTCGTAGGGACTCCGGCTGAATGCAATCAGATTAACTGAATGACATGCCTCCTTGGACAGTGAGGAGATGATCAACTTTCGTGTGCGCTCAGCCTCTGGAAGCTTTTTCACTAAGTGTAGGATGTCACTGAGCGCACATGAAACTTAATCACTCTTTATCATTCAATAAATCTGATTACATCAGTTATATCAAGTTCCCTCCTATTTTCAGCTTCAATGGGCGTGTGTGAAGGAAAACCCATTGGTCACTGGTTTGGCCCTAACACCATTGCTCAAGTATTTCGCAAGCTGTGTGTCTACGATGACTGGAGTCAGATACGAGTCCACATTGCTATGGACAATACTGTGATTATCAAAGATATATGTGAGTGGAAACCTTGTGGTTGTTTTAGTTGTTGTTATGGATTTTGTATTTGTAGTTAAATAAACCACAAGTTTAATTTGTCAATATCTATAGATAGAAAAATTAACTGATATTAACCAGGTATAGAAAAATTAACTGGTACTTACACAGCCCTCATTTCCCTGATAAAGTCTGACAGTCAGCAGACAAAAAAATTTTAAAACACAAAGCTACTAAAACTATTCAACATTGTAGTTGTTGTATGTATTGTTTGCCATATAGATATGTATATGATTGTTTGAATGTTTGCACAATGTTTTACATTTTTGTTCAAGTGAATGTTTGTGAATGAATTAAATTCACATAACTTATGTGGAAACTAAACTATGTTACAAGCTATATAATTACTTGTCCACAGTCATTAATGTTGTTATACATCAGAAAAATGAATTTTAAAGTGTTTTTTGAACTTGAGAAGGAGGAGGAAGCTTTGTGCCCTTGACCTTGTAAAATAGGTCAGTAAAATACTGGCATTTATGAATTTAGTGGCCACTCCATTCAACTTCAGTATATCTGATAGTATTACTTCATCATAATTATTATTGCAGTTGTTATTATTATTATAAATGTAGGGACAATGTGCAAAGAACCAGTGCGGACAGAACAAGATGGTGCTTTGGAGGGTTACAACCACAAGTCAAAGGAAATGACAGTGAACCTTAGAAAAATACATCAAACAAAAACGTCAAACTTTTCACAAAATGGACCTTCTTTACAAAAATCCAAAGGGAAAACGCACCATGGTCGTGACCCTCTATCTGAGGATTTTAAGGATGATTTGAATGGTGATGGAAATGGTGAAAGTGATAGTCACTATAAAGGAGCAAGCTGGAGGCCATTACTGTTGATCATTCCGCTGAGACTGGGGCTGTCAGAAATCAATTCTGTGTACTTGGACAGTCTTAAGGTAGACTTGTAGATGCTGGTTACAAAATTAGAAAAGAAAAAGAAAAAGGCAATTAGATACAGAGTGACACCCAAGTGTGGTGTTGTTAGATTGATTTGTTCAGAAGTCCTATAAAAAGTTTGCATTTCACTCTTGATGGTTTTTCTTCTTCCTATTGACTTAATCATCCTAAAACATAGCACTGTACCTTGTCTTGCTCATAACAATTTCTGAAGCATAACCTGTGGTGGAATAAAAGATGTGCTTTGTTTTGTTTCAGGTGTGTTTGACACTACCCCAGTCAGTAGGAATCATAGGGGGAAAACCCAACCATGCCCACTGGTTTGTAGGATATGTAGGTAAGAAAACTTGTACATGCAAGCACGCATGCATGCACACATGCAAACACACAGAGGGTACAATCCCAACCACACTCACTGGTTTGTAGGATATTTTATGGAGGGCATATGCATGCTTATATGCCAACACAAATATGGCAGACACCCCCACACTACACAGCCCTATATTGACCTTTGTCCTATATTTCAGGTGACCAAATGGTGTACCTGAACCCCCACACTACACAGCCCTATGTTGACCTTTGTTCTATATTACAGGTGACCAAATGGTGTACCTGGACCCCCACACTACACAGCCTTATGTTGACCTGGAGCAGCCTGATGCTTCTGATGAATCTTATCACTGCCCTTATGCCAGCAGAATGAAGATGTCACAACTGGATCCCTCCATTGCTGTGGTAAATGTTAAGACAATTTGAAGCAAATTAAATAGGTTATCTTAGGAAATATACTGGCCATATCAACTGCTAGCTTGCTCACTTCCAATACGCAGCTTGCGTGTTATCTTTATCAGGTATATTTTTTTCTTTTCTTTAGGGATTCTTCTGTAAGACTGAGAAAGACTTTATAAATCTCTGCAGTGACATAAGAAACAACATCATAAAACGCAGTAAGACGCCCATGTTTGAGCTCCATGAAGTGAGACCAGCGCATTGGCCTCCTTTTGAGCCTTACGAAGTACAACCAGGAACAAATTCTGGTATGTTTGATTTACTGTATATAATTTAGTTTAGAATGATGTACGTCCCTTAACTGGTGTAACTGATGTAGGTTGTTTGCTCACTTCATGTATCTAATCCAGCTGGTGGTACATGCCCAAGTGATGGTAATGCCCCTCTTTTCCTTTAGTTTTGATGTCTTTTTATATTGTATCATGTCAAGCATCACTTTTATCTTGGGAAGAGACAGTTCACTTATTTGAATTCTCCTATTGTGGTACATAACCTTGTTCTATAAAAGGCATGTTGTGGTTGTAATATTGTGGGAAAAAAGTTACCATCTCTGAATTTATTCAAATATTGTTCTATTAATTGAGTCATGTACTGTGTTATTTTTGAAAAAATTAGTAGACCTCACATATAGTTTGAACTGGCCATTTTGGCAAATTTGTATGTGAAGTCCATTATATGCGTTCACTGTTCTCTGTTGTTGGACAAGACCAGGACATTCAGATTCAGCATGGTAAGGGTGAGAGTCCAAATTAGGAGACAACTATATGTGAGGTCTACTATGTTAATTCCCACAGATACTAATGGCCAATTCTCATTTGATTTCCTATTCAGAATTCACAGTGGTGGATGACAGGCAGTATGACACAGATGAAGAGTATGAGCTGCTGTGATCAATGTACCTGTTGAGAGAGAGAGGGGGGGGGGAGGCATTCTTTGACCAGAACCTGGTTGTCTTGATACCAGGGAGGAGATGTATGCCAAGAAATAACAGACGGTGCTGAATGCAATGTGTCTATCACTTTCGTGGCCTGAGACAAATATTTTTAAAATCAACCGTTACTGTGATTTTTAATGCCAGATTTGAAAGAAATATTTTATCAGTGGTTAATTTGTTTTCCATGAATAATTTTTTTGATCATTATGTTGTTTAACCAGCATATTGCCCTTAATATACATTACTGCTTATAACAGTCATCATTGTGGTATGTACATTTTTTCCCAGAGTGTAATTGTTTTTAAGAGGTTTAAGTTTTAAGATCAAACTTATCTGTTATACAAGTGTGACATTATGTTTTATGAGGTCAAATAGTTCTGAGTCACTGGCAGAAATGGGAATTTTTTTAAAAATATACCTATTGAAGCATTGGTCAGAAACATGTTACACTTGATATGGAATCCAAGGTTGTGGAATAGTGAACCAAGAAATCAAACCATTAGTCTGTCTCCAAACTGTACATGCCCCGCACTGGTCATACAATACACACTTTTTAATCATCCGATCATTAAGTGAGACGATGAAAAACTCATTTCTCTGCAATTTGGTAGACTGTGTATAGGTACAAATATAATAACTTCAAAATCTTCCTGAATGCTTTCATTTCTTACGTTTATGTATTAAAAGTTCGGTAGGTGGGGTCGAGTGGGGCAATATAAATAGCCATCACGGGGAGCAAGCCAAATTGAAACATTGCTTTATCTTAAAAAAAGCGGAAAGGCTTTTGCTACACGCCCACACGTCGTCTGCAGTGCAGAATCTGATGTGGTGACACGTGGTTCAAAGTCTCGCGTTATTTAAGAAAAACGCGATTTTTTCCTCCTTTGGTGTTTCTCCCAACCTAAATTACCTGTAGTGGCATAGTGGCCGTAGTTTGAATTTGATTATAACTGTTAAAAGTATATTTTGAAGGCATTTTCTAGACTTTGGCAATTTCCGTAAAGCTTCGACATGTATGACAGGTATCATATATTGTCAAATAACGCTACAGGATTTGTTGGTTTAGTGGTAACGTCCATGGTACTACCCGCCACTCATATAATAAAATATGTATATAATACTCATTAATACACAAAAGACCAGCAGGCCTTATCATATGGAAATGACTTACTTGCCTTTGGTCACGCATAACCACGGATATTTCACTTGTCTTCCTTGCTTATCACAGCATTGCCGGAAAACTGGAGTTATAGGGTCCGTTCACGATAAAACTATCATAGTTCGAACTAACTGTTGCTGTATCCAAGCAGCTTGAGAAGTCTGAGAAACTTCCTCCTGTTTCCAACGTACTAGTATATCATCATTGGATCCTCATTGGATTATCCTCTGGTCAGTTATCCTTTGGGTAGAGTGGTATTTCCTAAATGCTAGATACTAATTTTTGCCTGTATTATTGCTATCCGGGTGTTACATAGCCACTATCATCAGGATAACTGTCCATTGAAAAACATTTTTATCACTTGCTCAGTTTTAGCCGTAGGGTGGTATTGAAATAGGGCCTAGCTTTTAATGTATTCTACCTAACACCACGAGGAAGCGTGTCAATCTGTAAACCTGATTGCATTCAGCGAAAGTTCCCGCGGAGTTAATTCGAACTACCTATAGTACGATAGTTTTACTGTGAACGAGCCCGTATTGACACGCTGTAGTTATCCAGCTCACTTTGCGCTGCTCATGCGTTCCTGGTGCACTGTGCCGGTAGATAAAATATTTTCCCCGCTGGCATATATTTTCAGTAATTTGAGTTCAATCGTCTTGTTGTACGTGTAAGATTTCCAGGAGGACGGAGAGAGTGGTTTTGTATTTACCGGGATATAACAAAAGAGAGCGATGAAAAGAAGAAGATCCACATTAATCGCGGTTGCAGTAGTAGTAGGTCTACTTGTGAGTGCGTCACTCGTCTATAAACGTAAGTATGGATTGATAATGGAATTTAGCAATACGGTATTATCTCCAGGGTCAAATTATTAAATAGAAGTAAAAAGTGTTTGGTGCTTAGCATGGGGAGGCGTTTGTGCTGCAAATTGGTGAAATAAGCCCCTTATTTTACATATTGTTCGTTTATTTTCACTTTACCTCGAACAATCTCCCCAAGTCGTCCATCCAATAAATGTACAGAATGAAATTCCTCATCTTTATACTACTGTGGCGGATTAAGGAGAGAGAGAGAGAAAGAAAGAAAGAGAGAGAGAGAGAAAAGCGAATGATTAGTCAATAATTATGATTATTTTTAGCCTTAGGACCCCCACCCCCAGTTAAATGCGCCAGTGTGGAAATTCACGGCTTTTTTAATATGCGCCCATTTACTAAGAGAAAAAGAATTACTGTCAACACGTCACTGCACGAAATAAGTGTAGACATCTTTTAAAATTTCTTAGGCTTCTTTATAATTGGAGTTGATGGCTATAGTTTTAGAGAGGAACATCATGAGACAGTACCAAGTTTAGAAACCAGGTCCTTGTACAATGTGTATCTACAGTGTATATCTACTGCTATATTGAAGCCATTAGTGATCGAAGCCCTCTGTGTTTTCAGTTCATATGCATATAGTTCTTAATTGAAATGATATGTTTTATGCCGCCGCTATGGTTCTGCTTTTCTGAATGCGATGAATAGCCCGTAAAATATAGGGGCCTATTTACCTGGAGCAGACTAAAGTAAATTTATTTTACAGACTTGACATTATTAATTTGAAATATATTGCTCCAAATAATTTGTCTTCGATTTTTCCTCTTTCTCTGACTGATAAATGAAAACAAGGATTTCAATTGGATTTTTATAGCTTTTAATTGCCTTCATTGTTATTGTGACATCAGTTCTTTAGTTGAATTCACCGAATTAAGACAACAAGAATAAGTGGCAGATTCTAAATCATACAACAACCATAAAAAGCGTTTATAATTATCATCTGTGAAATAGCTATATGCTTCACAAAGGACGCTCATATCAGTGTCTAATCAAGGCAGTGGTCAGTGGTGCGTCTGGCCTCATCTGGATGCTACCAGGGCTTTCAAGCGGCAAGGCAGTCCTTAAAAGTTTCGAAGAATTTGATTTGGAATAACATAACAGGCCCAGTTCAAAGCTTGTCCAATTTGCTTCAGATGTGTTGTAGGACCAGAAGGCCATTGATTCGACTAGTAATGACCACACACAAATTGGCTATAGCGATCCTGATAGCCTTGCGTTAGCTGCGCTGTTCTTTGGTTCTGCTAGTACATGTAATCTGCATATACAAGTGCTGTGTGTGGACGGGTATTTTCATCTTGTAAAATAAAGCTGTTCCTAGCGACTTGGTTCAGGAGCACCACAAGTTGAAGAAAAACAATGCATTTTACGTGACATGTGTTTTAATTCTGAAATACTCCATATTAAAAATCGATACTGTATAATGGTATACTTTTTTTTTATTCATTTACAGATAGGAAATCATGGCAGATGGTAAGATGACAAGATACTACGGGTGGGAAGCCACCATCTAAAATTTATGTAGTCATTATTTTGAATGGCTAACCAATTTGCATCATTTCCGAACACGAAAACAGTTTCTGCACGTGTTGACTATAAGGGAAGTTATACTTGCTCCCTATCATTCGCTATCTTTTACTTCTTTGATTGTACTTTGCTTATTATTTGCAATTAACGGAGATGAAAGCCATTACTTTTACAACATAGTTGTTTTCATAGCCGCCTGTTCAAGTCCATATCTTGTTTAAATATTAAATGTTTATATTATAAACTTTAAATTTTACATCCATGCTGAATAAAGGGCATATTTGACAAAGCAGGTTTTTGTGTAATTGATGAGAATGATGGCGCAGAAAATTCATGATGACATTTAACTATAAAGACTGAGTGTACTAAATAGTTCAGTTCATGGCTATTGGCTCTGCTAGCACTACATAAGTAATCTAGACAGGCCTAAATTTATTTACGCCAGTTATACAGTACATGTTATGGCAATGTCCTAGGGTATGGAAAATGATGATTTATAAAAACGACCACGTGTAATTCTCTTTGAGCTATCGTTCTACGTAGATCGACCAAACTCTGCGGAAATTCTAGCGGAATGCAATCAGTTTAAAATATTAACAAGCCTCGTTCTCGTATAATCACCAGCTTTTCTGTTTTCTTCTCAACGCCAGGAGTGTTAATAACGTAATCCGGTGGCATTCAGCGAGAGTCCCCGCAGCCTTCCGTAGGATCAGTCTATGTAGACCTATAGTTTCATTGGAAGCGAGTCTTAATTCTCTTAGTTACTTTTTTTTTAGATAAAAGCAACTTTTGAACAATAGTGCGGCGTATTGTTCATGACGAAGACTTCACAAATATCTCATTTTCTTTAACTAAAGACTCCTACCAAGTCAGTGGACAGCAGGTACATCTACTACAAGTTGTTTCCTAGGCTCGAAAAGGTTGATTATTCTCCAGAGGCAATGCCAGCATATGTTTCAAACATCTCCAATAAGAGTGGCTCGAACTATGATGCCATGGAAAGGGACTTCACCAGGTGAGTTTTTGGCAGTGTATCTAAACTCAGTTTATTCATGCCAGTAGACAGCAATTTTTAAGTTGTTTTACAAAAAGGCGGACTTCCTTATCCCCCTAAGTTGGCCCAAACTGAGAAAGGACATAGATCTTAGATCACATTTTAGTGAGAGCTGTACAAAATGGCGGGGCTTTCGATTCCATAACCGCCTCCATTCCTCTCCCATACACACACACACACACACACACACACACACACACACACTCACACAGGCCACAACGCCAACGGTCCTGTACTATTAGTTTGTTCTCTCTCTTTATTTTTCAAAATATCATCAACAGCACATTGATCTTATTATCATCGAAAATTTCAAATTGGTCCGAAAAATCGTGACATTTTCACCAGTTTTTTAATCAAGGGTTCGTTGGTACCAAGGCCCTAGAGTGAACATTCGGAGCAATGAACCTTCGGACTATTGCTACGGCCCCATATCAAACACAATACTGGCATAAGACCTCGCACACTGCGAGTTATGTACTGCAATGAAACGGTCAAGTTACATGAGAACTGAACCATCAAATAGTCTTATTCAGTATTCATTGAATGTCTTTGAGGGAATGTCATCTGCTGCATTTAACACTTAGCGTCGCGTTCGTTTCAAGGTATCTTCTTAAAACACAGTTCGACTGTCGACACAGGGTAAGAGCTGGCAGGAGTGAATTTGAAGATGGCGGCTGGGAGGTTTGCTTGGATCTCCCCTTCAATATGGTTCGTGGGAAATGTTTGGTCTACTCGTTCGGGTAAGAAAGTCCAGCAGTCTTTTGTTTTTAATATGACTTTTAAGATGACTTAAAAGCTTTAAAATGTAGTTTCAGTATTGACTGAATGATTTTGCTCATGTTGTAGATACAATGTATACTGGTAATTACATACATGTGTTTTGCTAGTATTAAATGCATTTCGTTATTTACTCAAACTGGTTACTTTAATGCTTTAATTGATCCCAGTATCAACAATGAATGGTCGTTTGACGATTACATGGACAAAACGTTGGGGTGCACTGTCCACGCGTTCGATCCTAGGTATGTACTGGTGTGATCTTTTATTCTACATGTACCTAGGTCACCATTAAGCACCTATGGCCAATAGTTGTATCAGCGTTAGGGTGTGACACGTTAGGGTAACAACACGTGAATATTTGAACAGGTTCAAGGAGAATAGTACAGAGCCCCGCAGGGGTCACTTACAATCTCGAGCGCTCGACTTAATATTTAATAGAATGGAATAAAACAAATGCCATGTTTTATCTAAAAGGCTCACAAATTTGTAGGCAATGCCACTTACGCTCGTACTGATTGTATCATTTTCAAAATTGGCAATAAGGGCCTACATTAAACCTGACACTGCTACAGATTATGGGACTTTCATTTATTTTGTTTTTCCCACCACTCTGTTGACCATAGACTTGTCCAATATAGCTATAGGGCAAGGAGGATTGTTGAGAATCCAGATTTGCTGTCAGATGACCCCCTCTAATCCCCTGAGCTTTCTGGCAACGATTAATCTGTATTTATTTCAGTATGGCTGAGAAGACAGACTTTTCTCGATCAAGAAACATCAGATTTCATCCTATAGGAATTGGAGGCAAAAACAGCCTCGTGCTTAAAAAAGGACAGAAAGCAAAGTGGCCATTGGCTACTCTCGGCACCATATTGAAGTTATATGGACATGAAAATGTGAGTAATACTTAATATTCGTTGACACTATGGGTCTGTTTCGATCTATCCAACTCTGGATAGATCTGGATAGATCCGGGTACTCTTGCTGAATGTAATCAGATTAACTAAACGACATGCCTTCTCCTTACCCTCTACAGCTTGATTTTTCACAGATATTCACTGATAGCTAGGTCTCTAGATAAATGGACAGTCATTTTGGCTCTCAGTCGACTCAGCCAAAAATGTCCACAATAATAACTGAGACCCTGGTAGAGGGTACCTTCTCCTGGCTATAGTATGCAATCATATTAACTCAGCAGGGGCGGATTTAGGCCACCTTCTGGGTCTTCTGGAAGACGGTCAGATTTTCAAGTTTACATTGATGGGTATCTAATTTTTTCTGTTGGAAGACTGTCAAAAAAGGAGGATGGATCAATAAATATAATTTGGAAGACTGTTAGAAAATATAGCTGGATCCGCCCCTGAGTTACTGAATGACATGCCTTCTCCTGGCTGTCAGGAGAAGAGAGGAAAGCTGATGATTGAACGAGTATGTTGGAAACATGAGGAAGTGGGTTAATCTGTTAAACTGATTGCATTCAGCGAGAGTCCCCGCGGATGTGGATCGATCTACGCAGACCGATAGTGTCCTAAGGGATGAGCCCCAAGAATTTTGTTTTGAAGGATATCTTAAATCAAGATTGTTCCAAACAAAAATGTTGTTCTAGCTTTGGTTCAGAAACAATGTTTTCTTTCACGATATTTTTATTTTGTGTTTCAGAAAACATTAGATTATTTGAAAATTGATGTCGAGGGAGCCGAATGGGACAGTTTACCCACAATGTACCGTGAGGGCGTCTTGGCACGTGTCAAGCAACTTGGGATCGAAGTCCACTGGCTTCCGAAAGAAAAAGACTTAAAAACAGTATTGGAACTTCACAAGTTAGGTTTCAGAATTTATTACGGAAGACGAAACTACTACTCGCGAAAAAAATCGGATGTTACTGGTAGGACTATCAATGACTGTATTGAAGTTCATTTTGTTAATATTAATTTCATAGATTAAAAGCGGTCCTGTGGCATACACTGTAAAAACAGCGTTTAGCTCCTTAACACATTTCTAAGCGCCTGATTTGTCTCATTTTTTTCAACTCTCCATAGCATGTTGCACGCTTCAAAGCATGTTGCACCCGTTAAACCTGAATAGGATTGGCAATATGACGCGTTTTGCGGAGATATAAAATTGATTGAGTCAGGCCAATACACACCAATAATACAATATAATGAATNGTTTTTTTTTTTTTGAACTTTTTTTTTTTTTTTTTTCGCCCGCTCGCACCGATTTTGGGGTCCCCAGAGGATGTCATCCATAAAAATAAAAAAAGTGTGGCCTAACACCACGAGGAAGCGTGTCAATCTGTAAACCTGATTGCATTCAGCGAAAGTTCCCGCGGAGTTAATTCGAACTACCTATATTACGATAGTTTTACTGTGAACGAGCCCGTATTGACACGCTGTAGTTATCCAGCTCACTTTGCGCTGCTCATGCGTTCCTGGTGTACTGTGCCGGTAGATAAAATATTTTCCCCGCTGGCATATATTTTCAGTAATTTGAGTTCAATCGTCTTGTTGTACGTGTAAGATTTCCAGGAGGACGGAGAGAGTGGTTTTGTATTTACCGGGATATAACAAAAGAGAGCGATGAAAAGAAGAAGATCCACATTAATCGCGGTTGCAGTAGTAGTAGGTCTACTTGTGAGTGCTTCACTCGTCTATAAACGTAAGTATGGATTGATAATGGAATTTAGCAATACGGTATTATCTCCAGGGTCAAATTATTAAATAGAAGTAAAAAGTGTTTGGTGCTTAGCATGGGGAGGCGTTTGTGCTGCAAATTGGTGAAATAAGCCCCTTATTTTACATATTGTTCATTTATTTTTACTTTACCTCGAACAATCTCCCCAAGTCGTCCATCCAATAAATGTACAGAATGAAATTCCTCATCTTTATACCACTGTGGCGGATTAAGGAGAGAGAGAGAGAAAGAAAGAAAGAGAGAGAGAGAGAAAAGCGAATGATTATTCAATAATTATGATTATTTTTAGCCTTAGGACCCCCACCCCCAGTTAAATGCGCCAGTGTGGAAACTCACGGCTTTTTTAATATGCGCCCATTTACTAAGAGAAAAAGAATTACTGTCAACACGTCACTGCACGAAATAAGTGTGGACATCTTTTAAAATTTCTTAGGTTTCTTTATAATTGGAGTTGATGGCTATAGTTTTAGAGAAGAACATCATGAGACAGTACCAAGTTTAGAAACCAGGTCCTTGTACAATGTGTATCTACAGTGTATATCTACTGCTATATTGAAGCCATTAGTGATCGAAGCCCTCTGTGTTTTCAGTTCATATGCATATAGTTCTTAATTGAAATGATATGTTTTATGCCGCCGCTATGGATGGTTCTGCTTTTCTGAATGCGATGAATAGCCCGTAAAATATAGGGGCCTATATACCTGGAGCAGACTAAAGTAAATTTATTTTACAGACTTGACATTATTAATTTGAAATATATTGCTCCAAATAATTTGTCTTCGATTTTTCCTCTTTCTCTGACTGATAAATGAAAACAAGGATTTCAATTGGATTTTTATAGCTTTTAATTGCCTTCATTGTTATTGTGACATCAGTTCTTTAATTGAATTCACCGAATTAAGACAACAAGAATAAGTGGCAGATTCTAAATCATACAACAACCATAAAAAGCGTTTATAATTATCATCTGTGAAATAGCTATATACTTCACAAAGGACACTCATATCAGTGTCTAATCAAGGCAGTGGTCAGTGGTGCGTCTGGCCTCATCTGGATGCTACCAGGGCTTTCAAGCGGCAAGGCAGTCCTTAAAAGTTTCGAAGAATTTGATTTGGAATAACATTACAGGCCCAGTTCACAGCTTGACCAATTTGCTTCAGATGTGTTGTAGGACCACAAGGCCATTGATTCGACTAGTAATGACTACACACAAATTGGCTATAGCGATCCTGATAGCCTCGCGTTAGCTGCGCTGTTCTTTGGTTCTGCTAGTACATGTAATCTGCATATACAAGTGCTGTGTGTGGACGGGTATTTTCATCTTGTAAAATAAAGCTGTTCCTAGCGACTTGGTTCAGGAGCACCACAAGTTGAAAAAAAAAAACAATGCATTTTACGTGACATGTGTTTTAATTCTGAAATACTCCATATTAAAAATCGATACTGTATAATGGTATACTTTTTTTATTCATTTACAGATAGGAAATCATGGCAGATGGTAAGATGACAAGATACTACGGGTGGGAAGCCACCATCTAAAATTTATGTAGTCATTATTTTGTATGGCTAACCAAATTTGCATCATTTCCGAACACGAAAACAGTTTCTGCACGTGTTGACTATTAGGGAAGTTATACTTGCTCTCTATCATTCGCTATCTTTTACTTCTTTGATTGTACTTTGCTTATTATTTGCAATTAACGGAGGTGAAAGCCATTACTTTTACAACATAGTTGTTTTCATAGCCGCCTGTTCAAGTCCATATCTTGTTTAAATATTAAATATTTATATTATAACTTTAAATTTTACATCCATGCTGAATAAAGGGCATATTTGACAAAGCAGGTTTGTGTAATTGATGAGAATGATGGCGCAGAAAATTCATGATGCCATTTAACTCTAAAGACTGGGTGTACTAAATAGTTCAGTTCATGGCTATTGGCTCTGCTAGCACTACACATAAGTAATCTAGACAGGCCTAAATTTATTTACGCCAGTTATACATGTTATGGCAATGTCCTAGGGTATGGAAAATGATGATTTATAAAAACGACCACCATCTCTTTGAGCTATCGTTCTACGTAGATCGACCAAACTCTGCGGACATTCTAGCGGAATGCAATCAGTTTAAAATATTAACTAGCCTCGTTCTCGTATAATCACCAGCTTTTCTGTTTTCTACTCAACGCCAGAAGGAGTGTTAATAACTTAATCCGGTGGCATTCAGCGAGAGTCCCCGCAGCCTTCCGTAGGATCAGTCTATTCATTGGAAGCAAGTCTTAATTTTCTTAGTCACTTTTTTTTAGATAAAAGCAACTTTTGAACAATAGTGCGGCGTATTGTTCATGACGAAGACTTCACAAATATCTCATTTTTTTTTAACTAAAGACTCCTACCAAGTCAGTGGACAGCAGGTACATCTACTACAAGTTGTTTCCTAGGCTCGAAAAGGTTGATTATTCTCCAGAGGCAATGCCAGCATATGTTTCAAACATCTCCAATAAGAGTGGCTCGAACTATGATGCCATGGAAAGGGACTTCACCAGGTGAGTTTTTGGCAGTGTATCTAAACTCAGTTTATTCATGCCAGTAGACAGCAATTTTTAAGTTGTTTTACAAAAAGTCGGACTTCCTTATCCCCCTAAGTTGGCCCAAACTGAGAAAGGACATAGATCTTAGATCACATTTTAGTGAGAGCTGTACAAAATGGCGGGGCTTTCGATTCCATAACCGCCTCCATTCCCTCCCATGCACACACACACACACACACACACACACACACACAGGCCACAACGCCAACGGTCCTGTACTATTAGTTTGTTCTCTCTCTTTATTTTTCAAAATATCATCAACAGCACATTGATCTTATTATCATCGCAAATTTCAAATTGGTCCGAAAAATCGTGACATTTTCACCAGTTTTTTAATCAAGGGGTTCGTTGGTCCCAAGGCCCTAGAGTGAACATTCGGAGCAATGAACCTCGGACTATTGCTACGGCCCCATTTCAAACACAATACTGGCATAAGACCTCGCACACTGCGAGTTATGTACTGCAATGAAACGGTCAAGTTACATGAGAACTGAACCATCAAACAGTCTTATTCAGTATTCATTGAATGTCTTTGAGGGAATGTCATCTGCTGCATTTAACACTTAGCGTCGCGTTCGTTTCAAGGTATCTTCTTAAAACACAGTTCGACTGTCGACACAGAGTAAGAGCTGGCAGGAGTGAATTTGAAGATGGCGGCTGGGAGGTTTGCTTGGATCCCCCCTTCAATATGGTTCGTGGGAATTGTTTGGTCTACTCGTTTGGGTAAGAAAGTCCAGCAGTCTTTTGTTTTTAATATTTTGTTGTAGTAGAAGAAAAGCAATCGACAGATTCGTTTTAGTTTATTATGTTGTACAAATTATTACGAATACGTGTTTCACTCAACAATGATACAGAATTGTAAATCTTAAACTGAGTCATTTGACAAGTATTTGTTCAATACCAACATGCCTGTAGCCAGCAATTTCAAAAGGGGGATTCCTCTTCTGAAAAAGTGGAGCTTTTACCACGAAACCTTCATGTGCCTAGATAAATTTTTACCCGGAGGGGACCTTTTCCCAGCAAAAGGGGGGTTCTTTCGAACCCCCCGAACCCCCTGGCTACGGGCCTGATCAATGTTGTTTACCTATATTGATGACTTAAAAGCTTTAAAATGTAGTTTCAGTATTGACTGAATAATTTTGCTTATGTTGTAGATACAATGTATACTGGTAATTACATATATGTGTTTTGCTAGTATTAAATGCATTTCGTTATTTACTCAAACTGGTTACTTTAATGCTTTAATTGATCCCAGTATCAACAATGAATGGTCGTTTGACGATTACATGGACAAAACGTTGGGGTGCACTGTCCACGCGTTCGATCCTAGGTATGTACTGGTGTGATCTTTTATTCTACATGTACCTAGGTCACCATTAAGCACCTCAGTAGGTGCCCTATAATAGGCCAATAAGTTGTATCAGCGTTAGGGTGTGACACGTTAGGGTAATAACACGTGAATATTTGAACAGGTTCAAGGAGAATAGTACAGAGCCCCGCAGGGGTCACTTACAATCTCGAGCGCTCGACTTAATATTTAATAGAATGGATTAAAACAATGCCATGTTTTATCTAAAAGGCTCACAAATTTGTAAGCAATGCCACTTACGCTCGTACTGACTGTATCATTTTCAAAATTGGCAATAAGGGCCTACATTAAACCTGACACTGCTACAGATTATGGGTCTTTCATTTATTTTGTTTTTCCCACCACTCTGTTGACCATAGACTTGTCCAATATAGCTATAGGGCAAGGAGGATTGTTGAGAATCCAGATTTGCTATCAGATGACCCCCTCTAATCCCCTGAGCTTTCTGGCAACGATTAATCTGTATTTATTTCAGTATGGCTGAGAAGACAGACTTTTCTCGATCAAGAAACATCAGATTTCATCCTATAGGAATTGGAGGCAAAAACAGCCTCGTGCTTAAAAAAGGACAGAAGGCAAAGTGGCCATTGGCTACTCTCGGCACCATATTGAAGTTATATGGACATGAAAATGTGAGTAAAACTTAATATTCGTTGACACTATGGGTCTGTTTCGATCTATCCAACTCTGGATAGATCTGGATAGATCCGGGTACTCTTGCTGAATGTGATCAGATTAACTAAATGGCATGCCTTCTCCTTACCCTCTACCAGGGCGACAGATTGATTTTTAACAGATATTCACAGATAGCTAGGTCTCTAGATAAATAGACAGTCATTTTGGCTCTCAGTCGATTCAGCCAAAAATGTCCCACAATAATAACTGAGACCCTGGTAGAGGGTACCTTCTCCTGGCTATAGTATGCAATCATATTAACTGACAGGGGCGGAATTAGGGCACCTTCTGGGTCTTCTGGAAGACGGTCAGATTTTCAAGTTTACATTGATGGGTATCTAATTTTTTCTGTTGGAAGACTGTCAAAAAAAGGAGGATGGATCAATAAAGATAATTTGGAAGACTGTCAGAAAATATAGCTGGATCCGCCCCTGAGTTACTGAATGACATGCCTTCTCCTGGCTGTCAGTAGAAGAGAAGAAAGCTGATGATTGAACGAGTATGTTGGAAACATGAGAAAGTGAGTTAATCTGTTAAACTGATTGCATTCAGCGAGAGTCCCCGCGGATGTGGATCGATCTACGCAGACCGATAGTGTCCTAAGGGATGAGCCCCAAGAATTTTGTTTTGAAGGATATCTTAAATCAAGATTGTTCCAAACAAAAATGTTGTTCTAGCTTTGGTTCAGAAACAATGTTTACTTTCACGATATTTTTATTTTGTGTTTCAGAAAACATTAGATTATTTGAAAATTGATGTCGAGGGAGCCGAATGGGACAGTTTACCCACAATGTACCGTGAGGGCGTCTTGGCACGTGTCAAGCAACTTGGGATCGAAGTCCACTGGCTTCCGAAAGAAAAAGACTTAAAAACAGTATTGGAACTTCACATGTTAGGTTTCAGAATTTATTACGGAAGACGAAACTACTACTCGCGAAAAAAATCGGATGTCACTGGTAGGACTATCAATGACTGTATTGAAGTTCATTTTGTTAATATTAATTTCATAAATTAAAAGCGAACCTGTGGCATACACTGTAAAAACAGTGTTTAGCTCCTTACCACATTTCTAAGCGCCTGATTTGTCTCATTTTTTTTTTTTGGCAACTCTCCCCAGCATGTTGCACGCTTCAAAGCATGTTGCACCCATTAAACCTGAATAGGATTGGCAATATGACGCGTTTTGCGGAGATATAAAATTTATTGAATCAGGCCGATACACACCAATAATACAATATAATAAATTAAAAAAGGGACAGTTCACTTCTTATATACCGCACTANGTTAATCTGTTAAACTGATTGCATTCAGCGAGAGTCCCCGCGGATGTGGATCGATCTACGCAGACCGATAGTGTCCTAAGGGATGAGCCCCAAGAATTTTGTTTTGAAGGATATCTTAAATCAAGATTGTTCCAAACAAAAATGTTGTTCTAGCTTTGGTTCAGAAACAATGTTTTCTTTCACGATATTTTTATTTTGTGTTTCAGAAAACATTAGATTATTTGAAAATTGATGTCGAGGGAGCCGAATGGGACAGTTTACCCACAATGTACCGTGAGGGCGTCTTGGCACGTGTCAAGCAACTTGGGATCGAAGTCCACTGGCTTCCGAAAGAAAAAGACTTAAAAACAGTATTGGAACTTCACAAGTTAGGTTTCAGAATTTATTACGGAAGACGAAACTACTACTCGCGAAAAAAATCGGATGTTACTGGTAGGACTATCAATGACTGTATTGAAGTTCATTTTGTTAATATTAATTTCATAGATTAAAAGCGGTCCTGTGGCATACACTGTAAAAACAGCGTTTAGCTCCTTAACACATTTCTAAGCGCCTGATTTGTCTCATTTTTTTCAACTCTCCATAGCATGTTGCACGCTTCAAAGCATGTTGCACCCGTTAAACCTGAATAGGATTGGCAATATGACGCGTTTTGCGGAGATATAAAATTGATTGAGTCAGGCCAATACACACCAATAATACAATATAATGAATAAAAAAAGGGACAGTTCACTTCTTATATACCGCACTACTGATGCGTCTCAGCGTAGTTTACGGACGCCTGGTAATTTTTGGTCCTAATGCAATATGGGTGTCGACGCTACTGCCTCTCTGAGGAGGTTATAGCCCGGCATGCCGTATGAAGCGCTGCAAGCTAGCAAACGAAAATATCTTTCTCTGCCAGACCAGGAACTTTATCCCTGCTTCTACCCCTAAGTGCTGGGTGCCAAGCACAGCAGGTATCGTTTATGATAATAAACATGATAATCTTTATAAGCTCTGGCACATTTTTACTTCAGTGTATGAACAATAAATATATAAGTAGCGTAATGAAATATATATAGATTTAGCATATATATACTTAAATATAAATTATAACATACAGGCAGTAGAACGTGTGGTGACTGAGCTGAACTAAATGACACATTGGGTTTAATATTAATATCTGATTTATTACATATAGCTCTCATTTAGAAAGTAATTTATTGTTATTATCAGGCCTTCTCACTAAATGTTTTATTGTATCATTCTGTCATATTGCTGTATTATGATTTGCCTTGAAAGAGTAATATGCCCCCAGACGGAGTCGAACCCAGGTTCGCCAGCTTAGAAGGCGGGTACTATAACCACTGGGCCATCCAATACAGATGGATGCTGACGATCACATCTCCAAAAATGAATGGCTTCTTGAGTTTATCCAAATTTTGAAAGTGAAGACCTCTTTTAGTTTGTTTTTCTAATTCCTGGAGGTTGGACCCCACCCTTTCCAAAACCCCACATCCGCCTGTGAATATAATGCTTCCTACTAACCAGTTATCATTTAGGTCTAAAGTAAAGACATAGTTGGATATATTTTAATATTAAAATAAGGAATCAGAATAAAATGCACTTTTATACCATGGTAGACCCGAAACATGGCCTGTAGGGAGGTTTTAGCCATTGCTTCCCTTTATCCTCTACCAGGGCGACAGATTGATTTTCCACAGATATTCACAGATATGTCTGTAGATAAATAGACAGTCATTTTGGTCTGATGCCGATTCAGCAAAAATTGTCCACAATGATAGCTGCGGCCCTGGTAGAGGGTAGCTCCCTTTAATTACAGGATTTTAACAAAAGTCACTCAGTAATTAATACACATATTCAGAAAAGTAACCAGTTATGGCAAGGAAGTCCACTAAATGTCCGAGCAGGTTGGACCACGTGTTTAGCAGTTCCACACGATTAGCAGCTCCACGCGCTTAGCAGCTCCACGCGCATAGCAGAGGAGATGCTCAGCCTATGTGTTTAGCCTTGCGATAATCTCACCGCGATTGGGTAGCTGTTATATTTGGTTTGATAAATAGAATAGAAAGGCAATAATACTTGCGGGTTTGTGTTATATATATATATGCTCCCCTGGTTTTGCGGCCACGTTGTGGTAAGCAAAAAGAAGATATGAATGAAACATTCATGATTAGGCAAGCTGTGTCTCTCTCATATTAGAATACGTTTTTGGTATACGTGGCCGTCAAACCAGGGTACTTTACTCGACGAAGAACAACAGCTCACTTTGAGCTGCTTGAGCGTTACCAGTGTACAGTGCCGGTAGATGAAACATATTCCCTTCTGAGTACTATAGCCATATTCTTCATTTGAGACACCCAGAAGGCGCGGAGTAGCACGAACAGAGGTAGTGCTGTTTTGTATTAACGAAGATATAACACAGGAAGGCGATGTTCAGAAAAACAGGTCTACTGGTGGCATTGGTTGGACTTCTGGGATTTTCACTAGTCTTTCAGCGTAAGTACGGATGGATTACACGAAATATATCAATTTAGTATTTGGTGTATAGCAATTTTAATTTAATTCTTTCTTAAAAAAGACGTATTGTAAGGGCAAGAGAGCCTATCAGCAACACATTTTTAATAGATTTTAAGCATTCCCCCTTTCATACACTTATTAATTTACTTTTCACCTTAACTTGGACCATCTCCCTTGGATAATTCACCCAAGAAGTCCAAAGATTAAAATAATGAACATTCCTCTTTTTGTACCCCGTTGATCCATGTTCATGTAGTTCCCGGGAAGAGAGAAGCTTATTATTATGAAGGAAGCGTCTTCTGTCTTGCCTGTAGGGATTTCAAATGAAATTTTAATACACATTTTTTAATATGCCCCATATACCATGCTCCAAACGTATGTGGTCTATACCGGTATTTCCCTGACTGTAGCGGGTTGAAGACAGAAGACGACGCTATCAGCTGAAATATGAAGCCGCCGTCCTAGCAAACATAACGTTATCATAACGTTACCATCAAGTTTATATAACCAAAATACGTTATGGTAACGGTTAATAACGTCCTGTTTTTGTTGTGGTGTGACTGTATTAGTTAACTTACATGTCCACACGAATCAAGATTAAAAACGTATTTTTTTCTATATCAGACGCTACTCTATGACAACGCGGTCTCAAGTTTCTAAAATTTCTCGGATGGGGGCATATCATTCCTCCGAATTAAAGATGGATGCAAGGACATTTAATATTGGATGGCAGAATCAGTAAGCGAAAGCATGGTTCTGATGATTGTAGAGACTGGAAACTAATGAGCATGTTCAAAAAGACATACCGTGGCTCCTCTAGTGAGGGCCAGTACCATCACCAGATCTAGGAAGGTAAATCGCGATTTTGTTTCTATGTGTGAACTCAACAACCTGACTTTAGATAAGCGAGTTAGAAACGCGATTCTAACACACTTATCTTAATTCCTTTTTTAATGTGGTTATTTTGTGGTAGACCGTAACCAGTCTCTCTATTTATGATAATAACCACACATTTTTTTATTCATTTTGCAGATAAGAAAATATGGAAGATGGTAAGTTGACAAGATACTCAAGATTAGGCCCCTCTGAAGAAAGTTGTTTTTTTATTTAAAAAAAGTGAAATGATTGATGGGTCATAAAAAAAAGAAAAGAAAAAAACATGGTTAATTAGGTTTCTCAGAACCCAACATTTTATTTTTGTCACATTTTATTTTGAGCAACATCTGTCTTAAAGATGCAAAATTAAGGTTAAAAATCAATTTTACAAAAATCAACCTTCTATGGGACCGAAGTACTTTCCTGTTCCCTGCAAACACAGAGCGTTTAGTACCGTTACCATAACGTTACCAGAACGTTTATTGCTAATAGTTATAAATATTATAGCAACGTTATATTAACGTTCTGTGTTTTTACTGGGTGTTTATGATTTAATAATTCAGTTGTATTGGTGAAATATACACCCATCAATGACGCCATTTTTTTTTCTTTATTAATATTTGAAAAAAAAAAAACTAAATTAAGAGTAAATAAACCATTAATTCTTGAATGACACACATTACGGAGCGTACAATAAATATTTAGCACCTTTTTACAATATTTTCAACAAATATTAGATAAAAAGTTATTTTAAAACAAAAGCTATTGGAAAATGATTACAAAAGAAGTAAATTTTGCCTTAAGTCTCTTAGATAATTATCTAATCAGCGCCATGGATCAGCGTATCGACACAAATGAAAATAACTCTTACTCACTGAGACATAAGATTTTTTTTTTTTTTTTGGAATACTGGAATTCCAAGATTTAATTTCATTATGATGGGTCCATATGTTCTTTAAGGTGTGCTTTGCATTATTTATGATTAAGCCATAACAAATCAATTTTTTCCTGTTAAAGGTCCAGTATCCTGCAAAGCCAGTGGGCAGTAGGTATATCTATTCCGAGTTGTTTCCTATGCTAGAAAAGATGGATTATTCTCCAAAAGCCATGCCAGCTACAGTTTCAAATACCACAACTAAGGAAGCGGCTACCTACGACGCTATGGAAAGGGACTTCACCAGGTGCTTTACCCGCAGCCATTTAAATAATCAATTAATTATTACTATCTTGAATTTAAAAGTAGGATATAATACAGTGAGCCTAGGTTTAAACGGCCCTGCTACACTCTAGCGTACTTGTGTACAGAGGAAAGTGCATTCAGGAGTATGGCATCACACGTATAAGATTGAACGTATATTAAGTGCTTTCTCTATACATAGGTTATTTGTCGCTGCTTTCACGTTCATACTCATACGCCGGAAAAATCGTGATTTAGTAAGTACAAAGATGCGAGTGAAATAAATTGCAGATGTAATATTCATTATATCGCTGTTGGAGTGTAATTTCCATGCTTGTCGTCCTAGGTATCTTCTTAGAGCTCAGTTCGACTGTCGCCACAGGGTTAGGGCTGGCAGGAAAGAATATCAAGATGGCGGCTGGGAGGTTTGTTTGGATCCCCCCTTCAATATGGTTCGTGGGGAATGTTTAGTCTATTCATTTGGGTAAGAAAATCAAGCTGTTTTTTGTTTTGATCTTTTGTTAAAGTAGTTTAAAGGCAATGGACAGATTAATTCCAGTTTATTATGTTGAACAAATTATTATGACTACGTGTTTAGCTCAACAATAACACAGAATTTCTAAATCTTACATGGAGTCATTTTACAAGTTTTTCTTGAATAACACTGTTCTCTTCCTACATTGATGATTTTAAAAGCTTTAAAAAAATGTAATTTTAGGATCAATAATGAATGGTCGTTTGATGACTACATGGACACAAAGTTTGGATGCCAGGTCCACTCATTCGATCCAAGGCATGTACTTTTCAGATAAATTAAACAAATTCCTTAATTCCCAATGTAATTTCAGATCAATTTCAACATCAAAACCACCTGTAAACAGAAAAGAAATAGGCAGATATCACTGATATACCATTGCACACATACACGTATGTCGACCGATGTGGTGAAAATTACATTTGTGTATTAGAACATATTCGTCAAAATAGCAATTGTCTTATTGTACATGACACACCATCTCGTTCGCTTGATCTTTGGTCTCTTTTTCAATTAACATCATGAGTTTTTAGTTATGTTAATAGTCGAAAGCTCCCCGTTTTTTCTGGGAGGGTACTGGGTATTCCGTATATTCAACAAAAATAAAATGCATGTCGTATAGAAGGTCACTGCCATAGCTACACACCATTTCAAGATTTTATTTCAGCCACTCTGTGAGATCAAAAGCACTATGTTGGCAAGCGCCTGCATGAGCTGCTAAAATGCTTGTTCCTGCTAATTGTCTTCTGAAATTCAAAATTCTACTATTTGACTTCTCTTCCCCCACCCCGACTGTAGCAAACTTTCTGACAAATGCTGTATTATTTCCAGCATGGTTGAGAAGACAGACTTTTCTCGGTCGAAAAACATCCGATTTCATCCTATAGGCATTGCAGGCACAAACGGCTTCGTGGAACGTAAATTAAAGAGAGGGAAAAGAGAAAATTGGCGTATGGCAACCCTCGGCACCATATTGCAGTTGTACGGACACGAAAACGTAAGCAATACTTTTGTTTTTAAGGCAGTCTAAAAAAAGCTCCTGAGAAATATTGTTGAGTTAGTTACACATGTCTATTAAAATTTTTGATCGCTGTGAATAACTTAGACATAACTTAGACTTAATACAAACTGAAGGATGGCTTTCTCCATAAGTTGGTGGACAAACCGGTGTGTGAGAAATGGTAGTCCTCTAGGAACCGCAGTCGTCCCCTATACTAACCCCAATACTCCGACTAACTCTAACCTGTACTAATCATACGGGACCCTGGTCTTCCATTCCTAGGTCTACTATTCCTGGCATACCGCATGATAAAACAAATAGTACACAGTCTCTTGGTGACTACGAAAACGGTCCCAGTGAGCGGAAATACCCACCTTCGTCGCCTCCTGTCTTGTTTATGTTACTGTATTGAGAGGCATTTCAGTTTCCCATAAATGGTTTACTTATGGCCTTCGTTAAAATGTGCAATTCTTCCCAGCAGACAAAGAGCGTTATAATAACGTTACCATAATGTTTATATGAAAAACAACGTAATGGTAACGTTATGGTAACGGTATAATACGTTGTGTGGTTGTTTGGTAGCTGATGGAACTTCATTATGCGTTTAAACGTTGACTTATTAAAGATTAAACTATCATACAGGCCAGTTATGTGTTGACTGAATTGCACAATGTTCATTTTCCTGTCGTTCCTAAAGAATTCATGTTTATACACTTAGCTTTTTTATTTTAGAAAATATTGGATTATTTGAAAATGGATGTTGAAGCATCAGAATGGGACAGTTCATTTTCTTGTCTTTCATAAAGAATTCATGTTTTAACACTTAGCTTTTTTATTTTAGAAAATATTGGATTATTTGAAAATGGATGTTGAAGCATCGGAATGGGACAGTTTACCCACAATATACCGTGAGGGCGTCTTGTCACGTGTCAAGCAACTTGGGATCGAAGTTCACTGGCTACCGAAAGAAAAAGACTTAAAAACAGTATTGGAACTTTACAAGTTAGGTTTCAGAATTTATTACGCGAAACGAAACTACAGTTCGCGAAAGACTACGGATGCTACCCACAGAACTATAAACACTTGCCTTGAGGTTCATTTTGTTAATATTAATTTTATAGAATAAAAGGGATTCCGGTGTGATGTTTACTTTAATTGCACTTTAGTGATTGTTGCAGTGTAAAATTATTTCTGTTTTGCTTAAAGTCCAATAAATGAATAAAAACGCAAAGAACCCCTCTTTTTCTGATTTGATAAATGTATCGAGTCCACTTTTCATCCTATAACAGCAATGGCAATAGTTGTGTGTACAGGCGAGTCCAGATGACGCGACAGAACATGAGCGCTACCAGTTTTGTGGTGGCAGTGTATTAGTTGTGGTGCCGTTTTATCATTTTACCACCATCTGCTGTATGTGAAATTCTAATATCAGTGGTAATGACCTTCTCCCAATAGGTTATAGAGCCATTCAATAAGGTGACAACGCATGTACTAGTGCTCGAAAGAGTTGCCACGTAATTCTTACAGCAGTAGAACGTCCACAAAATGAACAGACCTGCTGATATGGCCCCAACAGAACATCTGTGGGATCCTGTAGCGTTACCACTTCATCCCCAGCGGTAGATCTCAATCAGCTCGCTCAGTGGCTCGGCCAAGAATGGAATTCCATCCCACAGCAGTTGGTCAAGACTTTATCTCAATGAGGAGGCGCTGTGAAACGTGTGTCGTTTCTTGAGGCGGACACTCGCGACACTCCTCGAGCTTTGAATTATTTTTTGTGATGATGACGAAAAGCAAATCGTTTCTTAAGGGAGAAAACGAATCCGTCATTTCATCAAGGCGCTTTAAATTTGATGAAAGGCCGAAAGATCAAAGTCCTTCCTCATAGGTAGACAACACGTTTTTTGTTTTAAAAGACGATTTTCCTTCACTGTCTTTATTATTCTTCTGGCTGTTTTTATACTTCGTCAATGATGTTTGCCAATAACTGCCAAAAAATCTACCATTATTTGTAAAATATGAAAAAGGCTCAGTTTTTGAAAACAAGCCGCACCACACAAGCGTAGGATTGGGAGGTGGGGAGGGGTAGCCGTGGATACCTCCACCCCCTTTTCCAGCCACGTCAATCGTTAATAGCCCAGGAAGCAGGGGGTGGGGTTTTAAATATATATGTCAATTAGCCAACATCACTGGTCGAATTACCTAAAATTATATTATTCTAAAAGCACAATTCTAACATAAAGCGCAACAAGTAGGTCGCATTGGAAAAAATTATTCCATTCTGAAGTTCTGTTGTCAAAAGAATACAAGCAGTTCTTAATGGAACTGTGAGTAAATATATTGAAAGTATATGTGACAAAAAGAAATAAAAAACAGCAGTTATTTTACCCCGACCGAGGTAAGTGATGTCATAAAGACTCAATGTGATGTCTCTGACAATGGATATTTGATTGTTGCTTTTACCAATGCTTTAGGACCTGCTATTACCTGTTTAATGTAGGTTTTAACTTATTAATAAATAAAATTTCTTTAATTTCCCTTTCTGTTTGGGTTGTGTCCCTAGTGAATTTATAAAATGGGAATACCGTAAAGTCCTTGTTTTTGTTCATAGAACATTCACTTAGCAACCAAAATAAACAAACCCCCTGAAGATGCGATGAAACCGGTCGGGGTAAAATAACTGCTGTTTTTTTATTTCACTTTGACACACACACACACACACACACACACACACACACATATATATGACATGAGTTTATGTACTCCAAATAATTTTAGGACATAGCCAATCGAGTTTTATAGTACGTTGACATGCAGCGATGAAATAAAGACAATGTCCGTGCATATTTCGGAGTACGTGTGCAAGGCACTGAAAGTTACGATAGGGCCTGAGATGTATTTATTTACCGTGCGTTGTGTGGGAGTGCGGCGCATTGACCGAAGAACACCGCACGACGTTGAAACGCTGCCCGCGAAGAGCGAATAACAGTGTAGCATATTACATTTTATTTTCAAGTGTGTGAATGTTTGTCCTGATTGTTATTCACAACTTTGTCAATAATGACACCAATTTTAGAGGACTTTTACAGATTTATCTCGGCTTAAAAAAGACTAATGTTTTACTAAAGTTTTGAATTAAATCAGCGCCGTGACTCAGCGAATCGCCACAAATGTGAAACATCTCTTACTCAAATATGAGTATATGAGTATTTTTCTGCATAATCACATAATTCCTTTTTTTAATTGGATCATGAAGGCACCAGAGGATCTTCAAAATGCTTTATGTATTATTTACGATGAAATCCGTAACAGTACAGTGTATTTACTTTCAATGTTGTTGAACGGTACCATATCCTAACCACACATGTACACTGTGTGTACTATGTAATATTATGTGCTATATCAATCCGGATCACTATATGAATGAATAATTAATTAGTGCTCGGATGGTTGTCTCAGAGCCCCTAGTATGGCTCCGCGTCTTGTTTATTTATGATGTCAAAAGTGAAAATTCAAATAAATCACATTGCGTACGATATACCTTAGTCTTTAGGTAAGCGATATTTCATATTTGTGGCAATTCGCTAGCCCACGGCGACCATTTAAACTACTGAAATGTATGACAGCAGGGGACGTCATGATATGCAAATAAAAATACTTAAATGAAACATTCATAGATTCTATGCAAAAGAAGACTTCAATAAAATTATCGCGACAAGGCAAGCTGGATCATTTCCATATGAGTCTACGTTTTGGTATACGTTGCCGTAAAACCAGGGTTGCCGTAAACCGGTTCATTTTGTGCTGCTTGAGTACACAGTGCCGGTAGATAAAATATATCCCCAGCTGAGAGCATATTGTGCATATTAGATTCCCAGAACTGGTGTGGAGCACCACGGTGTGGAGGGGCACGGACGGAGGGAGTTCTTTTTTCGTATTTACGAATATATAGCACAGGAGAGCGATGTGTAGAAAAAAATCTGCACTAATCACGGGTCTTCTAGTGGCATTTGGTGGACTTCTTCTGGGAGCTGTACTCATCTTTCAACGTAAGTACGGACTGATTACACAAAAATATACCAATATAGTATTCGTTGTTTGTAAAAATTCTAATTAAAAACGACGTATTTTAAGGGCAAGAAAGCCTTTGAATATATCGTAAGCATTACCCCCTTTCATACATTTATTTATTTGCTTTTCATCTTACCTTGGAGCATCTCCCTCAGATAATTCGCCCAAGAAATTCAAAGATTGCTAATGAAAATACCCCTTTTTGTACCACATTGTAAGTTCCCTGAATTTTAAGTAAACTTTTATTGTAGAGTGTTTCAATATGACCCGATGTCAAAAATGGCAAGGTTTATACAGGTACAAGTAGTTTTAGCGAAAGACAGCTCCAAACGTATGTGGTCTATACTGGTGTAACAGGAATGGTAGTCATCTAGGAACCGTAGTCCGCACCTCGTTTCTTTGTACAGGTGACATTCGTCCCATATACTAACCCCTATACTCCGACTAACCCTATCCTGAACTAACTGTGATGCTTATATGAAACTACGTTATGGTAACGGTATAATACGTTGTGTTTGTGCTGGTTAGCTGATGGAAGTTCATTATGTATTTAATGTTGACTTATTGAATATAAAACTATCACACAGGCCAGTTATTTGGTGACTGAACCATCATTTGAACAATTTTCAAACGACAATCCTCTGTGCGTTTGCGCAATGTTCGTTTTCCTGTCGTTCATAAATAATGCATGTTTAGCACTATTTTTAAAGAAAATATTAGATTATTCGAAAACGGATGTTGAAGTAACTGTTATGCTGAAAGTCCAATAAATGAAATAAAAACGCATAAAAACTCTTTTTTTCTGCTTTGACCTGTATATATGTATCGAGTCCAGGTTTTCAACACAAAACAACAACGGCAGAAGCCGTGTAGACAGGCACGTCCGGGTGAGTAGTAACTTGGAAGCTTTACTAACCATGAAGGATGCATATATTTCAGTCAAGACCATGAGTCCAGAAATGTGGAATAGCTCCCTTACTACCTTACGCAATGGTGAGTTTGACCACTTTTTTTCATACGATTTTTACTATTTACCCACGCTTACCCCCAGTCCAATAATTTTCCCCTCAAGTCACCAATGAACTCCACGGAACCACACACACACATATACACACACGCAATTATTTTTATGATTAGTATTATAATCATTATTATAATTATCTTGTGCTTCTCCCATACTTGAGCCGATGGAAAGAAACTCAGTGTTTTTTGAGAACACACCGTATACATAATAAATAAGGGAGAGGTGAGGGGTAGCCGTAGATACCTCCAACACCCTTTCTCAACCACGTAAATCATTAGCAGTTCAGGAAGTGGGGGGGGGGGGGGGGCTTTTTAAATATATGTCCATTTTTTTAACATATGTCAATTAGCCATTAGATGTTTACGGCACTAGTGCGTCAACATAAGCACAATTCTAACATAAATCGCAACAAGCACAATCTGTCATGTGTCACACTGGAAAAAATTCCATTCTAAATATCTGTGGTCAAACGCATATAAGCATATCGTAATGGGATAGTGATGTAGTTGACATGCAACAATAAAAACGATGTCCGACTGTGATTCAGAATTCGGTGCCAAGCACTTCATGTAAGAAGATTGCCTTATATGTGGTGTATTAAAATACAAACGTGCGTTGTGTGGGGGTGCGTATGAATACATGAGTGGCAGCGCATGGACCGAAGAACACATGATGTTGAAATGCTGCCCGCAAAGAGCGAGTAACAGTGCGGCATATTATTTTTTTAAATTTCCAAGTGTTAATGGCATGTTTCCCCCTCTCCCCCCCCCCTTTTTTTTTTTTTTTTATTTTTTTGAAAATATTTGGTAATGAACATTAAATCCAAACATTATTCTCATTCGACTGTAAATATTGCAGCCTTTTCTTTTGTTACATTGTTTTCTAAACTGGACCAGAATAATTACTCCAAATGATCGCAAGGCCCGGGGCAATACTTTCAACAGGGCCAGGCGTCACAACAGAAAAGACTGGTAGTCATGGATATATTTCTTGGACTGAAAACGCTATCTACTTATATTCATGATGCCACAATGAGTAAATCAACAGATATCAGAGATAGATAATAATTCGAGGGGGGGGGGGGGGGGGGGGACCAGATTGGTAAAGGGTCTCAGACTGTTTTTAATTTTATTAGATGTTCACAGATGTGTCTCTGGTTAATCCATGACACAATTACCTGCTGTTGAAACGTGTTCAATGTACGGTCCTGGTACATATAAAGGAGGGGTGTCAGGCATTTTTACTCTTAAGTCATTGAAAACTCCCCTTTACCGTCAGCATTCTATTGTATTTCTTTGCATACAGTGACATGGCAGGAACTACCAGCTGAAGTGCTTTACGCTTGTCTACCTGCTTCTGAATCTTTAATTGACGACAAGCGTTTACGCACAGGTAGACCGAGTGTAGCAGTCCGCTCCATGTGCTGTTAAATGATTAACAGTGGCAACTGCTCATCACTGTCATTATACTGTATATTTCATTTTGTGCCATGTGGTAATTAATTGAGAGAGACATGACAAGACTGGCAATCGTTTTGAAGGTATGGCAAAGGCAGGCAATAACAGGTAATAATGATAACCCGCATGTGTAAGAACTTCAGACAGATCTCTTCATATCACATACGTACATACCTGAACCAACGCTGAGCCTGACCGAAAACAACAAGTCCTTTTCTTCTGATCAAATCAGCCAAATAAGAGCAACAAAGAGAAACTCATATATTTTCAAATTAGACTTTTATCATTTTTTAAATGTATTTTTCTGTTCCTTGTCCCACAAACCAATGAGGTGCGTGTTCTCCTGGTTCCTGGTTCCGGAAATCGACTAGACAAGGCCTATCACTTCTGTCACCACTTGTCTCAAGGACCAGATGGCCATCGATACGTAGGGTTCCTACTTGTTTATTAGTCTAACCCCAGTTGCACAAATAAATAAATAAATAAATAAATAAATAAATAAATAAATAATACATAAAAAACTGTTCCCTGGCTAAGAACTTTATTGCCAACGTTACATGGTCACATGCGCACATCTTCCTCTATCAGGAACAGTGTTACAGAGCTCTCATGGAAATCTTATAATCAACTGAGCCAAAGGACCGAATTCAGTTCGGAGACCAGTTTGGTTCCGAGCTAATAAAGGAAAACGTGTATTCACCCTATATATACAGACCTCCGTACATGCCTAGTTGGTATCTATACCAATAACATTTGATTGAAGACCTCCGAGCTTTTGGCTCATGCCCCTTTTTCAGGGACTTTGTATATGCCAGTTGGACGCAATTTGGTTTACTTGAAATATCTACACGATGATTATGACAAATCCTTTATTACATGGAATATGTAATATGCCATTAATAATTTTTCTCCTGATTGTTTTTCTTTTTTTGTTCCTTGCTTGCTTAATGACTCGAAGATTCTAATTCTTAATGGTAAAGTATCTTATATTCAGGGCGGGGTACTGGTCTTGTAATCATATGTTTGATGCAAGATTGAATAAGATATGAACTGATACCAGCATCCTGTCAACCTGTTCTTCAGTACTTGGTTAAACTACTGGGTGCAGACTTCGGTGTTCTTTTAATTCTACTGCGAGAAATCGAACGAAGCGGACTGCTACACAATCTTGTAAGTGAAATTTTCTGGACTGTTTGTCTTTTTTTAACTATTAATCTGTTTTTACTGATTTCTCTCTCTCTCTCTCTCTCTCACACACACACACACACACACACACACACACACACACACACAGACACACAAAGACACATTTACAAGCGTATCCTTGTACACAAAAGAAACCAATATGTTTATGATTGAAATGGATTACTTATCACGAAAATGTTACAATATTTTAGTCGATACCTGAACCACCAGATCAATCACGAACCCTTTTCGTACGTCTAAATAAATTGCTGGAAGATTCATCATAATCATCGTATTGATTTGGTAAAAAATTAATAGATTAAGCTGTTTCTTACCCAGGTTTTTAAAAATTCTCTTTTAAAAATGTTAACTGTCTTTAGAGATGCGATTTTAGCTTAATATATCAGTGGATTGCTAGGGTAGAAGTAATTACAAGAAACGGTTTATTGGCTTTTAAGAAGCAAAAATATGTATTCCAGCATAATATCATTGGACAGGGTCTTTCTCGAGAATAAAAAAGGGGACATAAGATATAGAATGCTCATTTTCACACTTTTTTTAACGAAAGGCTTCGTTTGTTTGATAGTTTATTTATCCTTAAATGAGAATGTGTCGGGTAATTGATCATTATTTCATAACCAAGTCTCCTCTCTCTAGAGTTCTGATATATATATATATATATATATACCGCGTATATATATATATATACCTGTATATATATATATATATATATATGGGAAATTCTTCATCTACTACCACTATCATTATTATTATTATTATAATGAAAAGGAAAAAGACAAATAATAAACTTAAACCATATCCTGTTTTTAATTAAAAATGTGGGACATTATGCCAAAAGTTCTAAAATTAAAGGGATAATAACACTTCGTACGAGATCTATATTTCACAATAAAAACATTGTGAATAACTCATAAAAATATAACATATTCTGTTTTACCACAAAAACGGCAGTTATAGCCATTATTCTGATATCTTAGCTTGTCTTTAGTCCACGTGACCTCCATTGATGGCTATACTCTGTTAAAATCTCTTAAGAGATTTTAGCAAAAAACCAAACATTTTAGAAAAAAAAACAGGGACTAACTTTGAATGTAAACATGGATTCATTAACCATTAGTAAGTATGGGAAAATTGTTGTTTACTCCAGGAAAATTCATTTTTGGTCGAAACGAAGAGTTATTATCCCTTTAAACGGATGATGAAAAGATATTTGTCTGTTGCAATTAGCATAAAGATTGAAAAGTGAAATGAATCAAGTGATGAGCAAATAGAGAAATCGATAAACAAAAAGAATGATAAATTGATATTTATGGATGGTTTTTCAATGGTTGTTGTTGAATAACGTTCTATAGTAGGCCCTATTGATACCTAGGAATACATTTGCAACCAGGCCGACAGACACAGGCTGACAGACGCAGGGTGACAGGTGTTGAGAGGAGGTGCTGTCACTAGGCGTCCGTCAAACTTTTCATTGCTAGTTATAAATTAATTGCGTTTCAGCAGACAAAATTCTATTTGAAAGATGAAGGAAATTCCGATTCTGCGGGTGATGATCATTGGTCTATGTATGTGGAAGGCGACAGCCGGTAAGCTACTGTTTTAAGGACTGGAACGTTTTTTTTTTTGTTTTTGTTTTGTTTTTTCAAAATTACCAGATTAGTGCCAGAAACCTTTTCGTAAGGTTAAGTTGTGATTCAGGGAAAAAAGGGAAAAAATTTAAAAGTCTATCAGCACGTTTAAAATATCGTTTTATAGGGCTTTTATATAGCCACATATATCAAGAATATGTTGTGTTGAAAGTTGTTAAATATGCTGTAAACAGACACTTTACTTAACGCATGTTCATGTCCAAGCTTAGAAAATGTTTATGTCAGTGGTATTATTTCTGTGCTCTTCAGTACATACCTTGATGACCGTACACCAACTGAAAATATAAAATAACGCATTTTAATTTGAAATCAGGACATGTGGTTAAATACCCTTGAATAAGCATTTATTTGAACCATCAGCGCTATATCCTTTTCATTCAGATATTGATGATGTATATTCATTACTCCTTTTCCTCTACCCAGATATCACCACCAGGTCCGTCATGGTACCAGTGGACTCGACGGTATTGCTTGATGAGCACAATAGATATAGGAATAACGTCGATCCACCTGCCAACGGCTTAAAGTCAATGGTACTGTTACAGATTGCTACTTTGTGTCAATTTTACTGCCATTATTGCAATTTTGTGTCAATTTTATTTTCCATTTTGTGTCGATTTTATCGCCACTTTTGTCATTTTGTATCGACTTTATGGCCATTTTAGTTTCGATTTTATTGAAATCTTTGAAACCAATTTATTGCCATATTGGTATTGTTTTTGTTGTCATATTGTATCTAGCACTCTGAGCTTCAGGTTTATTTCGGCTTAGTTTTCATTTTCAAACTTTTATTTGTGAATTGTAGGACCCTGACCATTAGTGACAAATTTTATTCGGATTTTATGCACTAAACATAAGCTATCATATACATGGTCATCCGGGCTTTGTAGTTCCGTAGAAAGCGTAGGTGACTGACGTATGTAAAGACCCTTCCACTTCTCTTCCACCAACCCAACACTTCTGGCACACGGCAGCAATTTGAAAAACGAATACCTTGGTCCGCGTCAGATCTGAAACTCGGGAATAAATTGGTCCCTTTCCTTTTTCAACAAGGCTTGGCCCAAGTTGGGTCAGTAAAACTGGGTTGAAGTATACGGTGTTACCAATGTAGATACAAAAGGCTTGGGTGGCACTTGCATTATAGCTCTAACGTACGGATCAAGGCGGTGGGCACATTGTGAGGCACATACACAGCATTAGCCGAGGACAATCTTTAGGGTATATACATTAAAAAAATGAATAAAATAAATATGATATGCCCTACTAAAAGATACCCCAGTGCCATATATTTTACAAGGTTGATAGTTACCTCTTTAATAATGTAAGTTGTATACATATACAAATAACATCAGGATTATTACATGCACCTTCAAAAAAACTCCGTGGTAAAACAACAAAAAATAAATTAGTAATACCAACTTTGTATGTCATTTCAAAGATTTGGAATACAACTCTTGCTGCAGCAGCACGGAATTGGGCTTCCAATTGCACTGGTTCGTACAGTGTGTCTGGTCTGGGCTATGGAGAGAACCTGTACGTGAACGTAACTGACCAGCCCTCCATGACTGAAGTCACAGCAGCATGGCACGAGGAATCCCAGTGGTATAATTATACAGATAACACCTGTTCGGCACTTTCGGGACGTACATGTAAACAATACATACAGGTAGGAAAGCAGCGGGCACATATGACGTGTTGACGGAGTGAATGTCAATCTTTATGTACCGAGATTATAACTGTTTACTTATGGGGTTTTGGGGGTTCAAATGAACCGTTGTTTTAATGAGACAAGATCCACCCTGAATCAAAATTTAATCCTGGTTCTGAGCCTTTATTCATGGAAGCCTAGTCAACTAATAAGGGGTTAAAAGGTCTATTCTTCAGAAACCAAACCTAACATTTACAATTGCATAGTGCAGGCCTTTGCCTTTTGCAATAACAAGAAGTGATAACTTGAAAGTTTTTGACAACAAATTTACACTTGGTTGCGGAAAGGATTGGATGAATAGTTAAAAGTGTAATTGGTTTGTTCTGCTAAAAACACTTTATGCCGGATTTCCCTACCATAATGAATTTACCTCGTTGGGGGNGCCGAAACGAAGAGTTATTATCCCTTTAAACGGATGATGAAAAGATATTTGTCTGTTGCAATTAGCATAAAGATTGAAAAGTGAAATGAATCAAGTGATGAGCAAATAGAGAAATCGATAAACAAAAAAATGATAAATTGATATTTATGGATGGTTTTTCAAACCCTTAATCATTGGTTGTTGTTGAATAACGTTCTATAGTATTGATACCTAGGAATACATTTGCAACCAGGCTGACAGACACAGGCTGACAGACGCAGGGTGACAGGTGTTGAGAGGAGGTGCTGTCACTAGGCGTCCGTCAAACTTTTCATTGCTAGTTATAAATTAATTGCGTTTCAGCAGACAAAATTCTATTTGAAAGATGAAGGAAATTCCGATTCTGCGGGTGATGATCATCGGTCTATGTATGTGGAAGGCGACAGCCGGTAAGCTACTGTTTTAAGGACTGGAACGTTTCTTTTTTTGTTTTTGTTTTGTTTTTTCAAAATTACCAGATTAGTGCCAGAAACCTTTTCGTAAGGTTAAGTTGTGATTCAGGGAAAAAAAGGGAAAAAATTTAAAAGTCTATCAGCACGTTTAAAATATCGTTTTATAGGGCTTTTATATAGCCACATATATCAAGAATATATTGTGTTGAAAGTTGTTAAATATGCTGTAAATAGACACTTTACTTAACGCATGTTCATGTCCAAGCTTAGAAAATGTGTATGTATTATTTCTGTGCTCTTCAGTACATACCTTGATGACCGTACTCCAACTGAAAATATAAAATAACGCATTTTAATTTGAAATCAGGACATGTGGTTAAATACCCTTGAATAAGCATTTATTTGAACCATCAGCGCTATATCCTTTTCATTCAGATATTGATGATGTATATTCATTACTCCTTTTCCTCTACCCAGATATCACCACCAGGTCCGTCATGGTACCAGTGGACTCGACGGTATTGCTTGATGAGCATAATAGATATAGGAATAACGTCGATCCACCTGCCAACGGCTTGAAGTCGATGGTACTGTTACAGATTGCTACTTTGTGTCAATTTTAGTGCCATTATTGCAATTTTGTGTCAATTTTATTTTCCATTTTGTGTCGATTTTATCGCCACTTTTGTCATTTTGTATCAATTTTATGGCCATTTTAGTTTCGATTTTATTGAAATCTTTGGAACCAATTTATTGCCATATTGGTATTGTTTTTATTGTCATATTGTATCTAGCACTCTGAGCTTCAGGTTAATTTCGGCTTAGTTTTCATTTTCAAACTTTTATTTGTGAATTGTAGGACCCTGACCATTAGTGACAAATTTTATTCGGGTTTTATGCACTAAACATAAGCTATCATATACATGATCATCCGGGCTTTGTTGTTCCGTAGAAAGCGTAGGTGACTGACGTATGTAAAGACTCTTCCACTTTTCTTCCACCGACCCAACACTTCTGGCACACGGCAGCAATTTGAAAAACGAATACCTTGGTCCGCGTCAGATCTGAAACTCGGGAATAAATTGATCCCTTTCCTTTTTCAACAAGGCTTGGCCCAAGTTGGGTCAGTAAAACTGAGTTGAAGTATACAGTGTTACCAATGTAGATACAAAAGGCTTGGGTGGCACTTGCTTTATAGCACGAACGTACGGATCAAGGCGGTGGGCACATTGTGAGGCACATACACAGCATTAGCCGAGGACAATTTTTAGGGTATATACATTAAAAAAAAAATGAATAAAATAAATATGATATGCCCTACTAAAAGATACCCCAGTGCCATATATTTTACAAGGTTGATAGTTACCTCTTTAATAATGTAAGTTGTATACATATACAAATAACATCAGGATTATTACATGCACCTTCAAAAAAACTCCGTGGTAAAACAACAAAAAATAAATTAGTAATACCAACTTTGTATGTCATTTCAAAGATTTGGAATACAACTCTTGCTGCAGCAGCACGGAATTGGGCTTCCAATTGCTCTGGTTCGTACAGTGTGTCTGGCCTGGGCTATGGAGAGAACCTGTACGTGAACGTAACTGACCAGCCCTCCATGACTGAAGTCACAGCAGCATGGCACGAGGAATCCCAGTGGTATAATTATACAGATAACACCTGCTCGGCACTTTCGGGACGTACATGTAAACAATACATACAGGTAGGAAAGCAGCGGGCACATATGACGTGTTGACGTCATGTTGACGTAATTATAATGTTGACGTCATGTTGACGTCATTGAAGAGTTACTTCATAAATTTTGACGTCATGTTGAGGGCATTGTAATGTTACGACTTTGATGATTGGTTCGACGTCAACAAGACTTGGCGTGCCCGCTGGAAAATGTCCCTTTATGAAAAGTAAAGATACATGTATTATCTGTATATTTTCTTTGTTTGCACATAGTTTTATTATTTGTCTCTTTGAATAAAAAGGACAGTATGTATTTTTAGAAGGCGGGAAAAATGTCTTTACAGAAAACGAAAAATTCGGAGTGAATGTCAATCTTTATGTACCGAGATTATAACTGTTTACTTATGGGGTTTTGGGGGTTCAAATGAACCGTTGTTTTAATGAGACAAGATCCACCCTGAATCAAAATTTAATCCTGGTTCTGAGCCTTTATTCATGGAAACCTAGTCAACTAATAAGGGGTAAAAAGGTCTATTCTTCAGAAACCAAACCCAACATTTACAATTGCATAGTGCAGGCCTTTGCCTTTTGCAATAACAAGAAGTGATAACTTGAAAGTTTTTGACAACAAATTTACACTTGGTTGCGGAAAGGATTGGATGAATAGTTAAAAGTGTAATTGGTTTGTTCTGCTAAAAACACTTTATGCCGGATTTCCCTACCAAAATGAATTTACCTCGTTGGGGGGGGGGGGGGGGAGCAATTTTTGCATACTCAAGCGTCATTGCTCGACACTTCACTATTCTTGGATTCAGTGTTTTATTCATTTTTTATTTGGCCAGTCATTTAGAACATCATGTCTTCCTGTACACTTTGACTTAACTATCGACGTAAGGTATGTTTATTTTAGGGGTCTTATAATTTTCAAATTTTTATTTACGAATTACATGACCCTGACCATTAAAAGTCTGAATTGGAAAAGATCAGTAACTTTACGTTTGCAGGATATGTAGACATGGAAAACGTGACTCAGTTTCATTTTCAAACGCATGTAGTGTACCTAATTAGCTCTAAGTAAATGTAATGAGATGTTAACTGGTTAATGTATTCAGATGGTCTGGGAAACCACGAGCCAAATCGGATGTGGAATGTCTCGATGCGAATTTCCATATGGTGGAACATGGTATTTTGTCGTCTGCCGTTACTCTCCAGCGTAAGAACAATTTAAAATAATCTGTGTCAGTCCCAAGATTTTTTCTATCATGTTCTTAATGATGTTTTGACATTGATTGTGAATTTTACAATTAAAGCACAACCATGTGAAGGAACTAATGAACTCCAGTTTCTCCCAGTAGTTTTTATATTGCAGTAACATAATATAAAGTCACTCTATACCCTAGATATTTCTTATCAGATGTAGATGAAATGATAAAGGATGAGTGTGTTAATACTACAATACTAGGATGAGTGTGTCAATGTTAAATTTGCATACATATTTACTGAATGAATTATTTTTATTACATACGGGTATCACTACACACTATGACACCATTCCAAGACCCTTTGGACTAACTTTGGGTGGAACTATCTCCAAGGGGATTCTCGATGAATTGCAATTAACGTAAGCGGCTTAAATGTCTGTCATGCCTACTGAAGCTGATAGGGGGTTATTAACTATCGTTTAGTAGGCGTGCCAGACATCTAAGCCACTTAAGCTGAAAGCAATTTATCGAGAAACCCCGTGGAGATGGACTGCATGATACTGTTAGATCGATCTAGGGATGGGAACCCAGTCTATGAGATCCACAAGTGAATTAAAGGGAGTTTTATCTTAAAAAACGCATTACTTTTCTCAAACCATTTTTTCCGTTGATGCATGGCCACACAAACAGCTTATATTATTATAGTAGGCCTAACCACAACCTATGTGCTTATACAACTTATATTTGATATTACAGATACGTCCCTGATCAAAGACCCTATACTGCTGCCGTGGGTGAGTACATGCATGAAGAGTGGAACTGGATAATAAGAAAAGACTATGGAATCACTCGGTTGATAAATTGCAGATTATTTAATAGACGGAACGCAATAATAGATTGTAGCAGTTGAGCGGACATCCACTGCACACGGTCAAGGTCATTTGTCCTATCTCGCAGTGAATAATGTTTTTTATTGGATTCACAAGGTGATCCGGATTACGGATCATCACCAAAATGTGACCACTTTTAAGTTAGCCCATTTCTGACCTATCCTGAAAACTCCATCAAAACCACCTTTAAATTTCAAGTCAGGCTGGTGACAAACAGAAGAAGAAACGGAGGCGGAAATATATAACCTCTCAGACTGCGGTAAAGATGTCCAAAGGTGCTTTTTATCCCCCTTCCTGCAGAAAATGTAAACGACAACAATGTAATATTCAGTGCTGTTACGTTTGCAGCTCTTAGGCCATGGCGCGTAGTGCTAAATGGTGTTTGTGTGTGTAACGCCTTTGAGAAAGGGTCCGAGCTAAAACCCTCCATTTTTTCTTCTAAAATCTTGTGCTACCATGGAGGTTATACATGAAAGAGTGGTTTTATATATATAACATCCATGGTAGCACAGATTTTCATAATGTTTCACCTTTTTCTTAAAATATCGTTAACCAATTGTGTATCCTATATATCGTTTAGGCCTTTTGAGGCCCTCTTTAATATTTGATCGTTGAAGTATGTTATAAGAATTTCCAATTTCTGGAATGTAATTTTCATATCGACAACTACATTATACGTTTAATTTTTACTAATTCTTGACCGTGATTTTAGGCCCCTGCGCACAAGGGCCCTGCCAAAATGGAGGAGTTTGTACTAACATTGGAGATGATGATTATCGTTGCGCATGCCCTCCCGGGTTCAGTGGAACCAATTGTGAATTAGGTAGAAAATGTAGGCCTACAGTTGTCAATGTTTAGTAATTTATGATCAACTTTAAAAAATTGAATAAAACTGTAGATGTATTTAGCATGTAAATTACACATGAAAAATTGATTTGCCTACTGCACGCAGAATTTATTTAAACCTAGTTAAATCATTTATGATTTCTAGATTAGGTAAAACTAGTAGCTTTGTAACTAGTTATAATTGAGCAGTCCCCCAGCTAATTATACAGGGTTTACCTTCAAGATCTTTAATCATTTAAACTCCTGAATAGAATTTCATTTCTGCTTCTTGTTTCTACTTATAAGTTGTAGATATGTGTGCCGACAACAGGTGTGAAAATGGCGGAACATGTATTCATGTTGATGGTGGATACGAATGCGTTTGTATGCCAGGCTATACCGGTGCTCTATGTGATGTTAGTAAGTGACGAGTTCTGGCCAATACTAGCATGTTATATTATATTATATCCAGGAGCTTTATCTTGTAAATTACTTTCCTCTTAATGTAAATCACAGCGCACGTTTTACTTTTTTTTTTTTTTTTTTTTTTTTTTGTATTAGCTAACGGTTACGTACATAGTGTTTGAAAAGTCACTACACGTCACAGTGCCTCACAATTATTGCACGACGAAACGTTAACAACTACACCGTCACAATGAGTACGTTTACGTGACGCAGTGCTTTGTTACGCATTTTTCCACACTTGTACTGTCTTGCCAGTCATCTAACCTTTTATCTGAATATGTTGTTCTTTCAGATATCGACGACTGCAGCAGCTCGCCGTGTTCGACAGGTTATTGTGTTGACTTGGTCAATGCGTACAGCTGTCTCTGTCCCGATGGCTTCACTGGAGTCAACTGCGATGAATGTACGTACCTGTGTGACAGGATTGGTAGCTCGATCCAGAATTGGAAGTCCGGGGTCCCGTTTGTTAAGTATAGGTTAGAGTTAGTCGGAGTATTGGGGTTAGTAGGGGGGCATATCTGGGACAAATGTCACCCGTACATAGCTTGGGGAAACGGGGTACGGTTCCTAGCGGACTAGTAGGACTACCATTCCTTTCACACCGGTACCAACAAACCACACACTTGTCAGAAACAACAAATATGTCAGCTAATAAAAGGAACATGCGTTGCTGGAGCAATGAAAGCTTTTGTTTTACAGGATTTTTTGACATCGTATTTGGATATATTTGAGTATATTAGTTGTCGACAGTGTTCGCAGCATGCGCACTAAACGGAAGCATTGTAAAGTTCGATCTCGTTGTCTTTCAGCAGTGGCTATGTCCATCAGTTTATCAGCCTGAACATAGAAGTTTATTTCACTGTAACATATGCATCCACCTGGGTGGATGAAAATGACAATATGAATATAATTTTTGTGAATATGCTATTAAACACTCACTATGAGTAAGACAATTAACCTATTAAAAAAGAAGTTTATAGTTTCTATTACTACTATTCAACTGCGGATGAGTGCAGCACTGTCTTCTAGATCTCTCCTAGCAAAAGCGGAGGAGAGAAACTGAGCTAGTGCAACAATGGTTACTTCTTCTTGACATTTCATAATTATAGTAAATTTTTTATCGGTTGTTTTGAAGCCAAAATGTGTATAGTGTTTCGTATATATCCTATACCTTACTACGTAGAGATTGCGGTTTAGTTTTATTATACCAGAAAATATTATTCCGCGTAGGACAGACTTTCACTATATGGGTGTCGTTCTGTCGTTGATTAGGCTTTGCACAATAGATCTACGCAGTAGACATGGTCATTTTGACCACCGTCATGTTGACAGCCTTTTAACTAAGTATTTACATATTAAACTTCAGTTTCGGTTGGAAATGGAACAATACGCGGTACCTCCACGCAAGATGGCGACCCACATATTGTGACGTTTGATAAGGCAAAAATGACGTATCAAGGTTCCTGCCGTTACGTACTGATAAAGACTGACGTCAGAAAACTAGTAAGTAGTTCACCTCAATCCTAAAGGTTTGACCAAAGAGATGGTTTGACCTATTAATGAAACTATATATTGCAAGAATGTGATGTAAAACATAAAACATGATAGAACAAAGGTGTTTGTGATATTAATGATATGAGAATGTATTTTTATTCGATTAATACGAGTACAACATAAAATACATTACATACCAGTATACACTTGTAAGAACCAACTGGAAGGGTGTGTAATAAGAACTGGCGAATCCAGACTATTTTCAAGTGTATGGTTGGGTCATTTGGAAGGGTATGGTGAAAATACCCCTGGTTTCCCTTCCGAGATGAAAGTAAATGCCTGCAAGTTACCTGCCCCGAATTCCACTAATATACCCATGTTATATTTTTATATTAAACATCAATCATCCTCATTTCCATTATGTTATGCGTAGAACGGGCTAACACCTTTCACCGTCACTGTGCGTAACGCCGCAAACAACGACGGCTCCAGCCTTCTGGACGATGTGGAAATGACTATAGGGGACAGGCGCGTCAGGATGACTGTCCGCGGAGAAGTCTTGGTAAGTTGACAGATAAATAACAAAGTAGCCTATATGGTACTGTTTGAGGCCTCAGTCATATCTAAACAGTCCATAAACGCAGCTGAGGAAGATATAGAAAAGCATTGCGATGTTTTAAAGTAGTACAGATGGTGAATTGCGAATCATTACGCTGTATAATAAGTATTTTTCTCTTCACAGCAATTTAATTATCATACAGTTGGTGTCAAATTTATTTTGGCAAATAACCGCAACTTCTGCAAGGAATACTTAGTTTAGAAAATCAAAACTGTGCTATGTTAATTATGCAGTGTACGCTGTTCTCAGCTTTTATTGAACATTTTATAAAATGTATATCTGAACAGGTTGATGGAATCCCCCTCGACATGGAAACGCTTCCATTTGTCACTGAGTCATTCAAAATCAGGAGAGGCGTCCTAGGAAGCGTGTTGCAACCTGTCCCACAACGCGCCATCAGCGAACCAGTGCTGCGCCTCGAGACGGCGTTTCTGGTCAACGTCACGTCCACAGTGCGAAGATTCGACGGTAGTGGGAGACACTATCTAAACCTAGAGGTTCCGGCTGCCTATCGCGGCAAGTTAGAGGGTCTCGCGGGCAATTTCAATGGAGATCCGAGTGATGACTACAAATTGGCTGATGGCACCGACGTCAGATACATTTCTCCGCCGGATATGAGAAGTCAAATGATAGCGGACAGCTGGTTGGTTAAAAATCATCCGGATAATGACAGGTGCGCAGTGTTTAAAAACCGGTGTGACAGGAATGGTAGTCCGCTAACAACCGTAGTTCGTTCTCCATTACTTTATACAGGTGTCATTTGTCCCGTATATAAACCCCAATATTCCGCCTAATCCTAACCTGTTTTAATCGTACAAGACCCCTGACTTCCATTCCTAAGGCTGCCATTCCTGTCCACTGGGTCTTATTTTCCCGATGTAACCACAAACAGTCACAAAGTAACTATACAAGTATTTCAATTTTGCGAGGGCCTCACACTTACCGTTAAAGATGATAAAAAAGTATACAGTAATAAGCATAATTTTTTAAAAAAACTAGGGAGAAATTAATATAAAAAAAATTTTACACAAGTTGCCGGTAATTGTAATCATGGGTCATTTCTATACAGAAGACAGTAGGAATACTCAAAATATTAGAGGCACATGATAACACGTCCCTCCTAAGTATCTGAAAAAAATTCTTTTCTTTCTTTTTTTCACTTTTCTATTACCTCATTCTTCTTTCAGACCTCCCTGTAATTAAACTAAGTACTGCTGATGACGATCCACTGGACAACGGAACGGAACGGAACTGGACTATGAGAAAATATTCTTTACATCTAGAGGGACTTTTGGAAACCACATACTAATATATGTTACAACGGCTATGAATGTGATAATACATTGGGGGGGGGGGATTCGCGCATGACTTTAAAGATGTTTAGATAAATTTCTTTGAACAGGGATAATTTGTGAACGATCTTTAAGTCACCAATTCAATGTCTAATTCTGGTTCAACGTACCGTAAAGCCCCAAGGTCCATTCTACACGTGACTTCTAGCGGGCATTGTCAGATAAAATGAGGAGAGACCAACCCCAGACAAAATTTCTGTCTGTATGTGACCCTCACTTCCTGGCGACGCCAACGTTTAACAGACACCAAATTTAGGGAGAACAATACAATAACTATATGCTTCTATCTATAGCTATAGCTACCTCTTTAACGTCATCGAAATAGCGCGACAAACGATGTCTTCTGGTGTGATTTTAAGATGGTTGCAGCTAATGCTTGTGGGAAATATGGTTCCGTGAATAAAGCAATGCAAAATGAAAGTAGTTATTGTGGGCTTGTGATTGAGGAACGAGTGTCGTGTATATGTCTTATGTCTATATACCTGTGACTAGGGGATATTTTCTTGACACACACCATTGACACCAAAGAGTTCAGATTTAAAACAAAGTATGGGACAATTTATGCTATTCTGTAGCACGTTTGTGGGCCTTATAACCGTAGGTAAATGTAAGTCTTTTCTCCTAGTTTGCGATGGGTGCCGAATTCGCCATGTTCCCTTTGAAATGGGATTTCACCCCAACCACCCTCCCCATGTTTCTGCCTTTACGTGTGTTGGCTAACTTTTGACATTGGCACCATACGTCCTCATTTAAATGTATGCTGGTGGCATATTAATCGCCATGTCTGATTGAGTTCCGCATCGGGGAAGAATTCCACATCTCTTTTACTAATGCTGCGACAGTTTTTTTAATTTTTTTGGCAAATTTATGCAAATCGCACACGTTGTTTCGTATTTGACAGCCAATCTCTTGCTGCTTTAGTACAGTGGACTTATGCACGATACATAAGCAAATGCCATAGTACTGTAAGTGTTATCCACAAAAGCTTGGGTCATATGGATAGCACATGTCTTTCTCGTCGTTCCAAACTAACCCTGAAGGGCAATTCACATAATAGCCTTGTAATCCAGCCCCGTAACATATCACATACTTCCGGCAAGAATCAAGAGCGGGAAATTTACCCGTGCTGGGGCATACAAATGGTGGGTTGGTGAACTGGACGGTAGATGGCGTTGTTCTTAATGCAACGAGGTTGCGATGGCAACCGTCGATGTTGTATTCCACGCATGCGCGAGAATCCTGGCTCCACATCGTGTGGTTTGGGCAGGTGAGGACCGTGCCCCATACCGCGTCATGAATACACATGAGAAATTTCCTGCAATCGGTCGGATGCGCCCAGAATCCGTTTTCCTTACAGAGTGTCTCTGGACTGTTAGTAACGTTTGCTGTTTTATTCAGTGCATTTTCATTAGTCATTGTTCTCTCTCCCTTTTTCATTTTTGGCTTAGTCTGAATCCTGGAATGTAATGTGACAGTTGATTGGTCCGTTGTGCTTGCTCTCGCTTTGCTAGGCAATCGTAATACACGAGAGGGTGAGACAGGGGGCGCCACAGTCGTTACCAACTTGGTCTTCTGCTTATGTGAATCTGATGACGGAATTGACGTGGCCGTACTTTCAGAAGACACAGGCTGCGTTATGTTGGAATGTCTTTCACAGAAAATAGCGCTCTCTGTCGTCTCTGAAGCGCATGCGCGCTCTGATTGTCTCCACACGGTCCCCTGGGGGCACTGAAAATGGCGCCCATGCGTCCCCACCTCAAGGCAGACGACATATTTGCGACAGTCATTGTCCACGGGGACCAAGACAGGAGCCCGTTCACACATATACGAAGGGTCTCCAGTGACCTTTTTGTCCATGTTTACTGGTGGAGGGGTTGTGTTTCCCTCAGCTGGGGCCTGATTATCGGTGAAACATAGCCTTAGGTCTAAATCCACACAGCGAAGGTGCCTCTGGCTCCACATGCGTCCGCTGGAACAAGTCCCCGTGGCTTGCACGCGACCCTCGAGACAGGTGTAAAAAGATGTGCAGTCTCGTGGATTTGCGAAGAATCCATTAGGCGTTCCACACTCAGACGAGCCTCCTGATGTCTTGGTGAACTTTGACCTCAGAGACGACGTCGAGCGCGTGATAATTGGCGCCTTGGACGTTCCGACGGTAGATGGAGCGCAGGCGGCGGCGACGTAAGCGACGCATGCGCTGTCGGCTTGAGACCACATCCTGTTTTCTCCACAGCTAAACATGTGGGCAGTGCCGTTGACACAGTGGTAATATTTTTGACAGTCACTCGATGATGGGTAGAATCCATTTTTCATTTCACACGGAAATCCGTCACCGGTTCTTTCCCCTTTTGACAAGCTGCTGGGAGCCACAGAGCCTGCAAAAAGAATAATATCGTTCAAACAGTTTATGTTGTTTGGTTCCTTCCACTCTTCAATTTATACTTCCAAGTTAAAGTGCACAGCAACTTATTAATAGGCTACTCTACAGGCACGTACAGTAGTAGGTCGTAAACAAGTTTTTTTTTACCTGGAGCATAGAATGTCAGATGTTTATTGAGGTAACAACAGAAGCTTATCTATTTAAGCATTTACTTTTTTAAAAACACTTTATACACTTAAACTGACTTTAAAAATTAAAAAAATGGTGAAACGGCATGTTTACAATAATCACAATTCTTAAAATTGCAGATATACGTGTATTATAACCATCGTTTTGTTCTCCGTGTCTATTTACCATATCAAACCCACCGCAAATATGTTATCGTTACTATTATTTATTCACCGAAACCAGCCTTTTCGAGTTAAGGGATATCAACCTTGAGCTAATGGTCTAATAATCACATCAAAGCGTGTACATGACTTGACGATGATATTCATGGATCTGCCAAAGATATGCAAAGGTTACAAGGTACTCGGTCACTCAAGCGCACTTATATGTTTGTTAGACTGCGTTCCCATAAACCCATCATACTAGCTGGGTCTATCTAAAATAACTCTGTGGGATTTCTTGCTAAAGTTTTTTTTTAAGTGTAATCAGCTTAATTGAGTAACTAGGGGGTAGTTGACTCTCGTTAATTACCCCTTAGCAGCTTCAGTAGGCGTGCCATACATTTAGGCCGCTAACGCTGAAAGCACTTAAAATAGCGAGAAGCCCCGCGTATTTAGATCGATCCAGCTAGTCAGTGGTTTTATGAGAACGCTCCTTTATATTCATATGAAATGTCCATGAAAAAAATGATGGACTTCAATCTTTTACATCATGTCGTTTTTATGCCTTCAGTCTGTGTTTTTGTTTTTTTCAAAATTTGCATGGTGAAAAAAATCCCCTACAAGTCTTTGAAAATGTTCTAAATCACAGCCATGTAAAGTTTAAGTCCGCCTCTCTCTTCATTTTGCGTCGCTTTGTTGAACACGCATTCATAAAAAGATAAGTTCCCTTTGGTTCGTATGATAATGATAACATTAATAAACAGGCAGACAAGTGCACGGGCAGCGATAACATGGTTACACTATAGTAACCACGAGGATGTTTTTTTATCTCTTTCAAATCCACTCTACTGAAACCAAGTGCTGTCTTCTTTGCAATTTCGTATTCACTCTCTATCTTAGGCCACATCCCCATTGACACCATCAGTCTTCATGGATCGGCCCAACTCTGTGTAGGGACTCTTGCTGATTGCCATCAGATTAACTGAATAACACACCTTTTCCTGGCGTTAAGTAGAATTCAGAAAAGTTGGTGATAATAAGAATATGTTGGAAACAAGAGGAGACGTGTCATTCCGTTAAGCTGATTGCACTTAGCGAGAGTCCCTGTAGATTTGGGTCGATCCACGTAGACCGATGGTCCCTATGGGAATGGGGTCTTATTATTATTATAATGTCTTCCGTGTACTGTACCGGTACAAGCCCTGTTCTTTTTAGGAAAAAGAAATGCTAAACGGTTTATACATTGTATGAAGCTCGACGCTACAAGAGTTATTTCCTGACAAATGCATTGTTTATGTGTATCACCTATTGTCATCTCCTTGCATAGATCTGCATCAGATACCTACCTTGATAACCCGATCTGTCTTGTCAGCAGTCTTGTCACCAGTGGTGTTGCTATACAACCTACCTTGAGCACTCTGTCTTGTCACCAGTGGTGTTGCCATACAACATACCTTGATTACTCTGTCCTGTCACCAGTGGTGTAGATATACCACCTACTAAGTCTTGTCACCAGTGGTGTTGCTATACAACCTACCTTGATCACTCTGTCTTGTCACCAGTGGTGTAGATATACAACCTACTAAGTCTTGTCACCAGGGGTGTTGCTATACAACCTACCTTGATCACTCTGTCTTGTCACCAGTGGTGTTCCTATACAACCTACTATGTCTTGTCACCAGTGGTGTAGATATACAACCTACTATGTCTTGTCACAGGTGGTGTTGCTGTACAACCTACCTTGATCACTCTGTCTCGTCACCAGTGGTGTTGCCATACAACCTTCCTTGATTACTCTGTCTTGTCACCAGTGGTGAAGATATACAACCTACTAAGTCTTGTCACCAGTGGTGTGGCTATATAACCTACCTTGGTCACTCTGTCTTGTCACCAGAGATGTAGATATACAACCTACCTTGATCACTGTCTTGTCACCAGTGGTGTGGCTATACAACCTACTATGCCCTGTCACCAGTGGTGTGGCTATATAACCTACCTTTATCACTGTCTTGTCACCAGTGGTGTGGCTATACAACCTACTTGATTACTGTCAGCAGTGGTGTAGATATAAAACCTACCTTGATCACTCTGTCTTGTCAGCAGTACGCCGACCAGTACCAACACCGTGGCCAGCGCCACCAGGACCAACACTGACAGGACGATATTGGGGGCCCAGCGCCTGAGTCGCAGTCTCCTAGAGGACGAGCAGCTCTCTGACGTGATCCGTAGAGCATCACTGGAGGCCTGCCCAGCGTCCTGCACGAAATGTTTGGCTACCATGGCAACGAGGTTTAAGACAGTGGTTCCTGGGAATGTTGTGTCACGTGCCCCCAAAATGGATGCGTTGAGAAGAGGGGGGTGTTCATATGGTCTGTTTTCATATCTGGAAAGATATACCGGTAAAAGTACGAATCTGCTAGGTAGAACGAGGCATAGAGATCAATAATGCTGAATGTTTTTTTTTTTTTTTTTAATAATTTGCCATTTGGTAAAACACAGTTTTCAGGTTTCTAATGAAAATTATTTACAAACAGGCCTCCATCACGTGAAAGGTGATTTCGCGCCTGAATAACTAGATATTGATACTCCCCCATAACTTTTTTCTCAGACAAATAAAGCCACAGTAACAAGCGTGCGTCCACTAAGGCCATAATTTATTCACTTCCGCAACAAGTGCTTCGTCAACTCGATCCTTGCGGCTAATCTGTCACGTGATCAGCGGGCGTGCGGCAAGTCGACCAATAAATCTCTGTGTTATACCTCGATCCTTGACACAGCATACAAGTTTATTTTTCACTTTTTCCTTAAGATTCTTTCTGCACATGGGAAAGTTAGAGTAAAATTGCCATATTGTCAGTTATGGCTGTGTTCAAATATATTAAAAAAAAAATTCGATATGTGTGGAAATAAGAATCATAGATATCGTACTTATTGTCCTTACAAATTACTACTTTGCTTTATAAACAATAAAAAAATGACCTGATAATCGATTTTCTAAGAAAATTTTTATTTGTTGTTACTTTGTGTGTCAATAAACTTTGAATGTCGTAACGGATTCATTACCCATTGGCAAGTATAGCAAAATTGTCGTTAACCCCAGGAAAATCCATTTTTGGCCAAAATGAAACTGTTATCCCTGTAAACCTGTCTCAGCGTTGGCTCCCATGTCTCTTAATGTAATATAAACTCTTTGTTGGCTACTGTTGTTAATATATGAGCAGTGTTATATAGGGAATATAAATACCCCCTCTAGCGGTGGCAGTTCGTGCTCCAAGGGTAGAGTTTATCGTTATCTCCGCTATCATACCGGTACTGTATACCAGTAGGCCTACTGTGAGCCCTACATCGCTTGGGAGGCTACTATAGTTGTTACAGCGCAATCTTAATGACTCCGCAAAATGCATTTCAGTGAAAGTCTCACTGAGAATATATTTGCTAAATTTTACTATTCTTATTTCTATGTGATAGACGCTGTTGATTCATGCATCACACGTATTGTGATTTATGTCTTTAAATGGTTATGGTTATGGTTATGGTTAAGTGTTGTACCAAAATTTATTCTAGTTTAATCAAAAACAGTAAGATAAAATGATCTGCCTCTTCGTAAGTTCTTGTGTGTGTTTCTATTGTTTCGTGTTGAAACGAAATGATGCAGAGGTGTCGTCTACGAAACCTACAGCGTCTCCAAGATATCCAGGGAAAACAAGCCCGACCCTATGACTCTTTTCTTTTTCTCTTTCACGGCTACAAATTATACGACGACCTTCTATTCCTAGAGCTATACAGAATTATGAAAAACGACATACCTTTTATTCCCATGGTAGTATAGAAGCGCCTTCTAAAGCGCACATCGTTTAAACCAGATAGTTTTGTTTTAGCACCGGATATGGATCCGTGGCGTGCCTTCAGCCGTAACTTTGAGTACACGCTATCATTTCATACTGAGTCACCCAGAGTTAATTGTATAGCACAGGTAACAAACGTCTGGGTCATTTGTAAAGAGGCCGTATGATGAATCTATGTATGTGTGCGGTTATAGCGCGGAAAGGGTTAGTATTCAGTACGTAATACTATAGTAATGAGGCTGCGCCGGCCTACAACGAATTAAATGAGCCAAATATGCTAGCTCAGGTTATTCCATTTATTCATTAAGATATTTTGTATGGTTACAGAGTCATCATACCCGTGTGTGGAGCACATAAATGTCCGCTTCTGTATTTTATTCACAAGATTATATGTGAATGTATACCTTTGTATACCGACATGGTATTTATTGGTAGCGCTCGATGTCGAATGGGCCTAAGATCGTTCTTACTCCTCTCGTCTCTGGGAAGAGAATCTATTTTTTTTATTTGCTTTATTCTTATACTACAGTTTTATAAAACAATTAGAATGAATTCTTACCTGGAAAATCTTCACACTTTTTTTCGCGCCACTACACGGCTTGAGCTGAATCCTTCCTCCGCATTCTGACATACACTGTATGTATATCTCCTGTATAAACTGGCGACAGTCAGTTTTGGCAAAGGGGAAATCGGCAGACAGTAGGGCCAAAATTATGCTCCTGTTGTCGCCTAGATTTTTAGATCGATACCAGTTGACGCTTGATTGAAATGATGAACGCTAACAAATACCTGTAAGCAGGTTAAATCGCCTCCTTCTACAGTCCTTCCAATACGCAGAACACAATGAAACTCATCCTATATGGTACGTTTTTGATATTGACGAAAGATTTGCCATTCAGTTTGGTCTTCTAGCAAAGAACAGGCATTAATCAAGACATTAATTTAGGCATCATTTGAAATAGGTCTTGATGAGGTCCCAAGTTCTCTTATGCTGCTGCTGATGATGATGGCGCGTCCCTGTTCCTGTCTCACAGTGCTGTTAATGGCATTGTNCTTTAGTCTGTGTTTTTGTTTTTTTCAAAATTTGCATTGTGAAAAAAATCCCCTACAAGTCTTTGAAAATGTCCTATATCACAGCCATGTAAAGTTCAAGTCCGCCTCTCTCTTCATTTTGCGTCGCTTTGTTGAACACGCATTCATAAAAAGATAAGTTCCCTTTGGTTTGTATGATAATGATAACATTAATAAACAGGCAGACAAGTGCACGGGCAGCGATAACATGGTTAAACTATAGTTACCACGGGGATGTTTTTTTTATCTCTTTCAAATCCACTCTACTGAAACCAAGTGCTGTCTTCTTTGCAATTTCATATTCACTCTCTATTTTAGGCCCCATCCCCATAGACACCACCAGTCTTCATGGATCGGCCCAACTCTGTGTATATAGGGACTCTTGCTGATTGCAATCAGATTAACTGAATAACACACCTTTTCCTGGCGTTAAATAGAATTCAGAAAAGTTGGTAATAAGAATATGTTGGAAACAAGAGGAGGCGTGTCATTCCGTTAAGCTGATTGCACTTAGCGAGAGTCCTTGTAAATTTGGGCCGATCCACGTAGACCGATGGCCCCAATGGGAATGGGGTCTTATTATCATAATGTCTTTCGTGTACTGCACAATCCCTGGTCTTTTTAGGAAAAAGAAATATAAATGCTAAACGGTTTATACACTGTATGAAGCTCGACGCTACAAGGTTATTTCCTGACAAATGGATTGTTTATGTCATCACCTATTGTCATCTCCCTGCATAATCTGCATCAGATACCTACCTTGATCACTCTGTCTTGTCAGCAGTGGTGTTGCTATACAACCTACCTTGATCACTCTGTCTTGTCACCAGTGGTGTAGATATACAACCTACCTTGATCACCCTGTCTTGTCACCAGAGGTGTTGCTATACAACCTACCTTGATCACTCTGTCTTGTCACCAGTGGTGTTGATATACAACCTACCTTGATCACTCTGTCTTGTCACCAGTGGTGTAGATATACAACCTACCTTGATCACTCTGTCTTGTCACCAGTGGTGTGGCTATACAACCTACCTTGATCACTCTGTCTTGTCACCAGTGGTGTAGATATACAACCTACCTTGATCACTCTGTCTTGTCACCAGTGGTGTAGCTATACAACCTACCTTGATCACTCTGTCTTGTCACCAGTGGTGTAGCTATACAACCTACCTTGATCACTCTGTCTTGTCACCAGTGGTGTAGATATACAACCTACCTTGATCACTCTGTCTTGTCACCAGTGGTGTGGATATACAACCTACCTTGATCACTCTGTCTTGTCAGCAGTGGTGTAGATATACAACCTACCTTGATCACTCTGTCTTGTCACCAGTGGTGTGGCTATACAACCTACCTTGATCACTCTGTCTTGTCACCAGTGGTGTAGATATACAACCTACCTTGATCACTCTGTCTTGTCACCAGTGGTGTTGATATACAACTTACCTTGTTCACTCTGTCTTGTCACCAGTGGTGTAGATATACAACCTACTACGTCTTGTCACCAGTGGTGTAGATATACAACCTACCTTGATCACTCTGTCTTGTCAGCAGTATGCCGACCAGTACCAACACCGTGGCCAGCGCCACCAGTACCAACACTGACAGGACGATATTGGGGGCCCAGCGCCTGAGTCGCAGTCTCCTAGAGGACGAGCAGCTCTCTGACGTGATCCGTAGAGCATCACTGGAGGCCTGCCCAGCGTCCTGCACGAAATGTTTGGCTACCATGGCAACGAGGTTTAAGACAGTGGTTCCTGGGAATGTTGTGTCACGTGCCCCCAAAGTGGATGCGTTGAGAAGAGGGGGGTGTTCATATGGTCTGTTTTCATATCTGGAAAGATATACCGGTAAAAGTACGAATCTGCAAGGTAGAACGAGGCATAGAGATCAATAATGCTGAATGTCTTTTTTAAATAATTTGCCATTTGGTAAAACACAGTTTTCAGGTTTCTTAACTTGAACACTGTAGGCCCTATAATTAATGGAAATTATTTACAAACAGGCCTCCATCACGTGAAAGGTGATTTCGCGTCTGAATAACTAGATATTGATACTCCCCCATAACTTTTTTCTCAGACAAATAAAGCTACAGTAACAAGCGTGTGTCCACTAAGACCATAATTTATTCACTTCCGCAACAAGTGCTTCGTCAACTCAATCCTTGCGGCTAATCTGTCACGTGATCAGCGGGCGTGCGGCAAGTCGACCAATAAATCTCTGTGTTATACCTCGATCCTTGACACAGCATACAAGTTTATTTTTCACTTTTTCCCTAAGATTCTTTCTGCACATGGGAAAGTTAGAGTAAAATTGTCATATTGTCAGTTATGGCTGTGTTCAAATATATTAAAATATAAAAAATTCGATATGTGTGGAAATAAGAATCATAGATATCGTACTTAATGTCCTTACAAATGATTACTTTGCTGTATAAACAATAAGAAAATGACCTGATAATCGATTTTCTAAGAATTCATTTGTTATTACTTTGTGTGTCAATAAACTTTGAATGTCGGAACGGATTCATTACATATTGGAAAGTATAGCAAAATTGTCGTTAACCCCCGGGATATCCATTTTTGGCCAAAATGAAACTGTTATCCCCGTAAACCTGTCTCAGCGTTGGGTCCCATGTCTCTTAATGTAATATAAACTCTTTGTTGGCTACTGTTGTAAATATATGAGCAGTGTTATATAGGGAATATAAATACCCCCTCTAGCGGTGGCAGTTCGTGCTCCAAGGGTAGAGTTTATCGTTATCTCCGCTATCATACTGTGTACCAGTAGGCCTACCTTGAGCCCTACATCGCTTGGGAGGCTACTATAGTTGTTACAGCGCAATCTTAATGACTCCGCAAAATGCATTTCAGTGAAAGTCTCACTGAGAATATATCTGCTAAATTTTACTATTTTTATTTCTATGTGATAGACGCTGTTGATTCATGCATCACACGTATTGTGATTTATGTATTTTAATGGTTATGACCGCTTGTGTTGTACCAAAATTCATTCTAGTTTAATCAAAAACAGTAAGATAAAATGATCTGCCTCTTAGTAAGTTCTTATGTGTGTTTCTATTGTTTCGTGTTGAAACGAAATGATGCAGAGGTGTCGTCTACGAAACCTACAGCGTCTCCAAGATATCCAGGGAAAACAAGCCCGACCTTATGATTCTTTTCTTTTTCTCCTTCACGGCTACAAATTATACAACGACCTCTTAAAGAGAGCTATACAGAATTATGAAAAACGACATACCTTTTATTCCCATGGTAGTATAGAAACGCATTCTAAAGCACACATCGTTTAAACCAGATAGTTTTGTTTTAGCACCGGATATGGATCCGTGGCGTGCCTTCAGCCGTAACTTTAAGTACACGCTATTTTCATACTGAGTCACCCAGTGTTAATTGTATAGCACAGGTAACACACGTCTGGGTCATTTGCAAAGAGGCCGTATGATGAATCTATATGTGTGCGGTTGTAGCGCGGAAAGGGTTAGTATTCAGTACGTAATACTATAGTAATGAGGCTGCGCCGGCCTACAACGAAAATGAGCCAAATATGCTAGCTCAGGTTATTCCGTTTATTCATTAAGATATTTCGTATGGTTACAGAGTCATCATACCCGTGTGTGGAGCACATAAATGTCCGCTTCTATATTTTATTCACAAGATTATATGTGAATGTATACCTATGTATACCGACATGGTATTTATTGGTAGCGCTCGATGTCGAATGGGCCTAAGATCGTTCTTACTCCTCTCGTATCTGAGAGGAGAATCTATTTTTTTTTTTTGCTTTATTCGTATACTACAGTATTATAAAACAATTAGAATACATTCTTACCTGGAAAATCTTCACACTTTTTTTCGCGCCACTACACGGCTTGAGCTGAATCCTTCCTCCGCATTCTGACATACACTGTATGTATATCTCCTGTATAAACTGGCGACAGTCAGTTTTGGCAGAGGGGAAATCAGCAGACAGTATAGGGCCGAAATTGTGCTCCTGTTGTCGCCTAGATTTTTAGATCGACACCAGTTAACACTTGATTGAAATGGTGAACGATAACAAATACATGTAAGCAGGTTAAATCGCCTCCTTCTACAGTCCTTCCAATACGCAGAACACAATGAAACTCATCCTATATGGTACGTTTTTGAAAATGACGAAAGATTTGCCATTCAGTTTGGTCTTCTAGCAAAAAACAGGCATTAATCAAGACATTAATTAAGGCATCAATTGAAATAGGTCTTGATGAGGTCCCAAGTTCTTTTATGCTGCTGCTGATGATGATATGGCGCGTCCCTGTTCCTGTCTCACAGTGCTGTTAATGGCATGGATCCTGGGTCACAAGACTCTCACTGGGCAGGTGTTTTGTTAACCACGGTTTAATAAAGAACTTGTCTTAAACAGCGTGACGGCCTGAACGTGAATAATGTCTCTCTGTTGTGTTCAACACCTGTGCTCTCGTGCTTCAGTTACATAGCAACGGTATGACTATGGAACGAGCTCGAAATAAATGACGCCGTTCACGGTTGAATATCGTCACTCAGATTGATAACTCACCTGAGTAACTATAGGGGGGTTGACAAGACAAATGTCCCAAATAACTATTACCTGTCAACGGTGACCGTAAATGTGTCAGCACATGCGACGTTTTTTTTTTTTTTTTTTTTTTTTTTAATGGAGTTAGGTCAAGATGTCCTGTTTACCTTACTAGTTCGTATTGTAAATCGTCTTATAAAGAATGAAGTAATCGTCCCAATCTTTTCTGTCGAGGTACTGTAGGGGGTCGGGGTGGGACGCACATTAATTCGATCTTATAAATGTATTTTATTCCCGTGTCGCTCGTATCTTTACTATCAGCTAGTTTAACTACCCCTCGGCGTTCCTACATGGCCCTAATCGCTCCTACAAATTGCAATTGTATTACATTTGCGTGCCTCCCGAACGATGTGACAAACTACTTAATGGGCGATTAAGGTTAACCCTTTTGTCCCACAAAATTCTTAACCAAGGATTTATATGTACCTCGCATAAACTCGGGTTGTTTATTCCATTATTGTTCTTGTTCTCTTCACCTTAGGCCTACTGAATTGTTAGGCGTTAGTTATACATGTGGCTTGGGCCTCGTTAGTACATCTAATGGTTCCAAGGCCAAAATAGGGACTGAAATACATGTATAATGATTTTAATTAGACGTCGACTAGACTGACTATATTATATAGTCTACTTCTTGCTGTTGTCTCTGACTTTTTTTCCATTGCCTACAAGAGTTTCAAATGTATTGAAACATGTAATTGGGGCACATGGTTCCATTTTCAACAGAGTAAATGAGCTTCAATCTTTACCCTGAGATGGTACCTTTTCCTTGTCTTAGAAAGATAGGTGGCGGCCATTTTGAGAACTAAAATGACATACCTGCACACAGCAGACGGTTGGCATTATCTGCGAAACTAAATTTCTTTACTTGGGTTAGCTTTACATTTGCGTTTTGTACACTTCCGGGAGAAAGGTGAGGTGTTTATTTGATTTAAAAGTTTCTTTAAGATACTTTTATTGCGTCTTTAGGATAAAGTTATAACATTGCTGATATCATCTCATCATAGAGATGCGTTTTCATCACATTACTAAATTATTTAAGCTCAGGGTGGTAGACAATTGTTCGAAATCGTGTCAGCGGATGCCGTCGTTTCGTAATCTCTAGAAGACTGAAGAGCGTTGACCCGAAACCGACAATCTTTTCATTTGTAAATAGTTTTGTGCCTTCTGTTTTCAAAGGCTCTTCATTACAGAAGATTTTAATATCAGTTGAAAAAACAACATTGGGATTTAAGGCAATTGTTTTGCTGTACGTAACAGATTTCAGGGTAATTGAGTAATACCATTATTGTAAGCGGATTATTTGTGAGTCATAATCCAAATACCTAATACAGATTCCAGAGAATCCCCCGCCTCCCACTCTTAGCTGAGGTCAGTAACAACAACAACAACAACAACAATGATGTTGATGATATCTATATTTATAATATTAATAATGTTAACAACTATGATAATGTGTTATTCGGCTATTAATATGATGTACATGGTTGCGTGTATGAAGCAAGCAATTTTGTTGACCTTGCTATTGCGCAGTAACTCCAGCAGGGCTCATGCTGAATGCAACCAGGTTAACAGATTCACAGGCCTACTCCTGTGGTGTTGAGAGAAATATTGAAAGGCTGGTGTTAATACAAATATGTTTGAAACAACCCCACTACTTTTAGCTTTGTATGATATGTACACATACCCAATTTAACTTCGGGAAATTCTCAAAAGCCTGGGCGAAGTTTGTACTCTCTAAGTACTCATACAGTTGTTAATGTCAAACTTTTCTTATTGCAGGTCTAAGTGAAAATGATGTCAAAACAACGAAACTAGCTCTGAGTCACCGGAATTGTAATGTAACACAGATGATCCTTGTGCTATTGACAAAAGATATCACCCTTACTTGTGTGACTACAAGAAGAAAACATAAAATACTCAACAAAAGGGAGATTATATAAGACTTCCAAACCCTTGGGAAGAGGGTTTTATGAAGAGAAACTTCCGTCATGGTCACTCATACAACAATACAGAAATATAAGCAGAATTACTTTGCTTTATGTTTGACAGGGTTGTTTGGGTGTAAGTGGCATAGATACAAACAATCCAGGAGATACAGCAAAAAGGTAACATTGGTATTCTGTTATAGAACTAAAACTTTCTTAGGCTGCTGTTTAAACATGTAGCATATTTAAAAGAAAAAATATATGCAAGTATTAGCTTAGTTTTTAAGTGTTAATTACATTGGTGATTATTGAGTCTAGGTCAAACACAATATTCTGCCAATGAGAAAAAAACAAAAGTATCTCATGTATAGCTGTTTAAAGATGTATATTAAGAGATTAGATATGTTCAAATTATTCCCACTAAACCTGACCAAATGCAACCCCTTGCATAGTTTAAAATAGTGTAACTTTAATTAGCACTGCTGGGGTTTTCTTTCACGATTTCCTTTGTTCCGTTGCAAACTGTAAGGAGGGATTATTGGGTCAATCTTATGACCAGAAAATTGAAGAACATACAGTTTTTTTAGCTGACCTAGTAATTAGTTTGGTTTATCTTTTGGCATGAAAATTTTATTTGATTTGTGTACGAATTTGGTAGTTATTTGTATGCGTTACAGGGCATGTACAGAGCTGAACTCTGACTTGTTATGCAACATTAAGTGACATTGGGTTGTAAATTGTGTTAGTTATGCCAGTGAATTGTGTTAGTTGTGACAGTATTTTGTTATCAAGTGAACACAATTTGTTTCTTTTCCAGGCTGACATAGCATGGTTTGCCGTCCTTCTGCTGTCTTTCCTCTTCATCACATTTTGGTTTTATTACTGGTTAATTACAGAGAATGATAGCAACTCATTTGATTGGTAATTTGTATTCCTGTATCTTCTTTATTTAAATATCAGTTATGTTTTAATTTTGATGATTTTAAAAGGAGCATGTAGAATTTTATTGTGAGCAATTAAAGAATTTATTGTTATTATTATATTTGTATTAATCTGTACTCCTTTTAGCTTACATCGTTTCACCATTTTTAAAAGATAATTTACATTTTGAGTAGAGAAATTGTTATGAAATTCTTAAAGACTCTCTAATAAATAACTTTCAGCTGTGATCTTTCTTTTTAATGTCATTGTTGCAGTTCATTGATTGTATCAAGATTTCATAGACTCATTACCACATTGTTTCAGGTTTTTATACAGCAAAACAAAAGTATGGATTCCGTGGTACCTCATTATAATTATTTTAACAAGCCTCTCATTTGGCTACTTGGCTTTCCTCATGGTAAGTTTTGTGATAAAACATATCCATAAATATTTTGTACTATACCACATGCTTACATGCACACACGCACACGCTCACGCACACACACACACACACACACACACACACACAGTTATAGGACTCTTTAAACATCGAGCATGATTAAAGTCGTATGATTCTGGCCCTTGGTCATGTGGCATTGTGTTAGGTGTGACAGTGAACACAATTTGTTGCCCTCCAGCTCCTGGCCCTTTGCCATACAGTATTGTGTTAGATGTGACAAACACAATTTGTGTCTCCTCCAGCCCCTGACCTTACGTCATACAGCATTGTGTTAGATGCGACAGTGAACACAGTCTGTTTCTCCTCCAGCTCCTGGCCTTATGTCATATAGCATTGTGTTAGATGTGAAAATGAACACAATATGTTGTCCTCCTGCTCCTGGCCATGTGTCATACAGCATTGTGTTGGATGTGACAAACACAATTTGTTCTCCTCCAGCTCCTGGCCCTATGTCATGTAGCATTGTGTTAGATGTGACAATGAACACAATTTGTTTCTCCTCCAGCTCTTGGCCATGTGTCATATAGTGATAGGGCACCAGATCTACATGCACCACTGCCACCGTGCCCTGGTTGTGACCATAGTTGTGGTAGGTGTGATTGTGGCCATTGCGTTAGGTGTGATGGGGAAAGCAGATTTCACAAGAATGATGGAAGTCCTCACACTGGACCTGTCCTTCCAGGTATGTGATATCATTTTTATTAACAGATACTGTTTTGTTATGGACAGACTGTGAAATGTTTCAGATGGACACTGTGTTGATATTACTTTAACATTGCTCACACAGTCCCCTCGAACAATGAAGGATAGGGCACAGTGATAGGTAATAGGAATCTTGGAGTTCCCTAGGTGCATATTTCCTTTAACTGTGCTGTATTCTTAGAAGTATATTTAGACAATGCTTTTCTTTTTATTATGGAAAGACGCAAGTTTAAGAACTGGAACACAATACACCTTGAAAATGACACTCTCGTATCTGGCATGCAGTATTGTATCTAGTACCTAAACTTTATTTCAGATCACAGGGCCGTGGCTGCATATTGGTGCTGTAGTACTTATGACAGGAATGTCCTGGATAGTGGCAGAGCAGTGGATGTATTGGAACAAAACGGGTTAGTTCATGCAGTGTGTTAGGTGTGATGATACTGATTGTGCTGGATGAGACAGAGTTGATTGTGCTAGGTGTGAAAATACTGGTTGTGTTGAGTGTGATAGTGAAATTTATCATGTCAGTAGTAGAGGAGCAGAATTGATATATTTTTGAGACAAGCATTCCCTGTTCACATGCGCACATTTAAACATGCAGACACACAAACATGCAAAAACTGTTTTATTTCCATTACCTTTTCTGTAAAAAGACTTATACACACTTACTTGCACATACAAAACCTACTTGCTCACAACATATGATTCTGTTGTATCTTGTTGCAGGACTGAAGATATTTTGGCTGCTGGTGTATATAGTTGTTATGGTGGGCCTGTACATAGTCCCTGTATTTATCCAGTCACCTTGTATTGGAGATAGTTCCACTCTGCCTGATAAACCCATGGTTATGGCACACAGGGGAGCTGCTGCAGTGAGTTTGGTTGATGGTTTTTGATTATAAATGAAAATGATAAAACACAATATGAAAAACAACTTTCATACTGTTAGCTTATGTCCAACCTGGATGAAGGCCTTCATCAGACTGATGTTAGTAGATGCTGTTACTCACTGACCTTTAAGTGGAATAGCAGCCAGGACCCTCTTATGAATGTCAGGTTGATCACCCCCTCCCCCACCCCCACCCCTGAGGAAAATATGCTGAGGGCGTTTATCACATTCTGTTTTCCTTTCTAATTTCCTCAGAGAAAATACTGAAGGTATTTTCCATTTTCCTTTCAAATCTCAGAAAATACCATGAGAGCATTCATCACTTTTGGTCTTCCTTTCAGATCTCCCCAGAGAAAACACTGAACTGAGGGCATTTATCATGTTCCATTTTCCTTTCAGATCTCTCCAGAGAATACACTGAGGGCATTTAGGAGATCTGCGGATTTTGGAGTCTTGGGGTTCGAGTCTGATGTCAGGGTGAGGTAGGTATTGTCTTAAGTATTGTCTATTTTTAAGTAGAAGTTGTATATATACTTTAAATTTTTAAGTAAATATATAGTTAATTTATAATGCTGTGAGAGAATTTTTCATATCTCATTTAAATGCTCTGTTAATGCTTACATATTCAAAGATGTACTTGAAGCGAGATGACTTGTCAAATAATTGTCACATAACCTAACCAAATTACACCTTATAACTTTTTATATCATAAAATAAAAATAATAATCAAGGGTTTTGTATCATATTTCCCGAAAAATTAAATATTGAAATTATATTTTCTTTCTTTCTGTGCAGTGTATAACAATAATTTTTATTGCCAGCCTTCATTTGGATAATTATGCTGTTTCATATGCAGCAGGAATATGTCACACATTAGAGTGACAGAAGTGAATGTGTTTGGTTTGGCAGGGATAGGTTAGTTAAAGAGCAATGTCATTTGTCTTTCAATAAGAAAAAAAATTCCCAAATAAATGTCGCAAATTTCAGTCGTGATGGTGTTCCATTCCTAATGCATGATAAAACTTTACGGAGAACCACAAATGTCGCTGAAGTTTTCCCGGACAGAAAAGACGAATTGGCAGAGAACTTCACAATCTCAGAGTTGGAACAATTGAATGCTGGGGCATGGTTTATGAAGGTAAGGACCCAGTTGGTATCATAAATACATTTTTTGAGGTTGAATGTTATTTTATAAGCTTTCGTTTCAGTTGGCTTTTTACTGTTTGGTCTTAAGTCTAAAAAAAAGGCAAATTATAAAAGAGAATTGCATGGCAGCATTCATGCAGGATTTGTTATCTTTTGATTTCAAATTATTCCCTTTATATTTCATACAAGAGAATAATCTTTTTATTTTTTTCAAAATCATTTCATCCTAAGACAATAGCATTATGGCAAATATGAAAATTAAATGAAGATCAACCAGATAAATTAAATTATTCACTTATCATACATATAGAACCAACATTTTATCAAAATTCTTCACCTGTTTTGTATTTTTCAGCAAAACCCCTTCCACACAGTTTCAAGTCTCAGTGAAAGCACAAAGGAGCTGTACACCAACCAAACCATTCCTACTCTCCTACAACTCTGCACATTAGCCAGGCTGCTGAACAAAACAGTGATGTTTGATCTCCGGGTGGAATCTGAAGACCATCCATACTATAATACTTCTGTTAATGTCACAGTTGATGCTATAATGAAATCAAAAATACAGCCAAGTATGGTGAGTTTGTTGTGGCATAAGTAGGGATGAGATTTTTCCGACTATTGGTGGATTTCTGACTTTTTCGGAGCCACACCATATTTTCTGACTTTTTAATTAAATGGCAATCTCATCCCAGCATAATGCTAAAAAATCCCATATGTGGCATTGTTTATATCACGGCTGATGTTGAGTTAAAGATGCCGCCAAAAGGAAATTTTGAGACAGTTTTATTTTGTGAAGAGAGAAGATAGGGCTAGAACCTCCTTTGCTGAGTGCTGAATATCTTTGAATGTAGAGCATAATGAAAATAGAATCAAGTCATTACACAGTCCAGTGCTCAGTCTAAGGTTGCAATTATACCATAATAAATTGAAACTGCATACTCAATATTGCGCTGGTGTATTTTGCATAATTTATATTTCTAACTCAAGTTATTAAATAATTAGATTTAAAAGCACCTGTAAAAAAATGATGCCAATGTTTTCCATATTCTAGATATGTTTCTTACATTCTAGGTATGGTGGCTAAGTAACACCACCAATAATACCCAGTACCCTGCTGACTTCACCACAGTCTATCCAATAAAGGGGAAGTCCCCGTCTGTGGAGCATCTCCAAAAAGAGGGGATTCACAGGGTGAACTCTCAATATGTGCTTACACAGGAAGAAATCAGGTAAAAAGATTGAATTGTGTTAGATGAGACAATATGGTTAGAATGTGTATATTGTGTTAGAGAAGACAATATGCTAAGAAAATTTATACCATGTAACGGTGTTTTTGACTGTCTGACATGCAATTAGGTAACATTGTCAAGTTTAAATATTTTGATTGGTGAGACAATAATCAGAAATATAAGATTTTGTTAGGGATGTCATTGAGGAGAGTGTAATTGTTTGTTAGGTGATTCAGTATGGCAAGACTGTTATGAGTGTAATAATTATTTATTTATTTATTTTGTTTATTTCAGTACATATGCCAGTCACAATATCAGCAGCAATGTGTATGTGGTGGACAGTCCGTGGTTGTTTTCACTGTTCTGGTGTATGGGAACCGCGTCTGTGACCACCAACATGTGCCACGTGTTCGCACAGATGGACAGGCCTTCCTGGTATATTGTAAGTATTGGGGGGGGGGGAGGGGGGTAGAGAGCGATTTAGGTGAGTCAGTGTGGCAAGACTGTTATTAGTATAACATTTATTTATTTATTTATTCTTAACTATTGTCTCACAAATCAAAATATTTAACTTGACAGTGTAACCCTATTGCATATCAGATGCATATCAATTGCATATCAGGGGTGAAAGAGAGGGAGGGGGAATGAGGGGAGAGAGAGAGAGAGAGAGAGAGCAAGAGAGAGAGAGAGAGAGAGGGAGAGAGGCGAGAGAGAGAGAGAGAGAGAGAGAGAGATGGGAGAGAGGGGGGAGAGAAAAAGTGTTGGGGTGGTAGAATGGAAAGGGAGGTGTAAGTAGGTGGTGTAAAGACATTCCTCAAACATACAGTCATGGACTTCCTTTAATCTTTTTTCACTCTTATCTTAGTTTGGTCACACTGCATGTCTGTTTCTGTTAGAGATAGTGTAAATACATGAGTGTATTTTACATAATGAACTTGTACTTTCAGAGTCCACAGAGCTATCTGATCATCTGGGTGCTGACCGATGTTATCTCCGCCATCCTTGTCATAACCTTCTTCATTATCCAGAGGTAATTTTTATAATTTTTTTTTCTTTATTTTACTGTTTAATTAATTTGATAAAAATTATCTATTTATTATTTATGCTCAAAGAAAAAAAATTGTTTTATTATTGTATTTTTGATGAATAGTAAACCAAAATTGTCTATTCTACTCTATAAACTTTTGGGATTGTCAAAAATTAATATTTTGAGTTAGAAGGAAAATCAAGGTTGTATTGAAATAATTCTAATATATTTAACTTTTATCCAAGCTCTGTTTCTTTTGCACTGGTTTGAACTTTGTATAATTGAACTGATTCAAATTATTACCCTTTTAGAAATTTATTGTCTGTTTTACCCATTTCTTGCTTTTCCAACCATGTTACTCATTTCTTGTAAAATGATTTTGAAATTTTTACCAATCAAAAGCATACATCTCTAAAATTATGTATATTGAATTTATTCCCCGGCAAATGCACTTTTCTCAGAAATATACCCAGTTTCAGCTAAAAATGCATTTTTTTTCTACAAAACAAAGTAATTACTATTATATTTTTTCTTATTATGTTTTCTGGTGTTTTTCAATAGGCCTTGATATTTTGTCAAAGTTTCTAAAAAGAAGTTTCAAATTTGGTTAAAACATCATATTGATCATTTCTACAACTCATTTCTTTTCTTTTATTGATTATATACAGTACATATAATTTGGCTCAAATCTTGTGCCTCAATGATGCAGTTTTCTATAAGTATGTTATGATTATTGCTAGAAAAAATCAATTAATTTGTTTTGAATTAGGTTCAGAAGTCGAGTTCGTATTTTTGAACTCCAACATGCGCCCACCTAGAATCCAAGCACCTTTTTCCTTTCTTTATATTTACATGGCATTTTCCTACCTTGTTACTTAGTTTATACAGCACCTTGTTGCCTAACTTTGTCCACACCTTGTTGCCTAACTCTTTCTGCACCTTGTTGTTCTTTACATACCCAAATGTTGTTGCTTAACCAGCACTGTAGTTACCTGCTAGTTGATGTCTGGTGCATTGAATGCCTGTGGCTAGTAGTTTTCTGTGTTTAAATTATTACCTGACTAATATAATTCTTCATATTTTCCCTCTCTTTCCTCGTATAGCACATTATTTAGTTACACTCAACTGTTGTAATGGCTGTGAAGTAGAGTGATATGTGAAGGAGTTTTTTGTTTTTTAATCAAGTTGGGGTTCTCCTTGGGATACAGAAGTTATCTGAAATGGATGATAGAAGTGATGTTTAACTGTGAGACAGGAAACTGCCTGATAATTACAATTCCAGTTCTTCATTGGCCACCTTGAGCTGAGAGAAGCAAACATAAGGAAACTCTTGCCATTGTTTTTGGGCAAACATTAATATGTCCATCTTGTTGACAGTTTTTAAGAGTTTTTTCCAAACTCTCCCCTCTATCTGTTACAGTTCCTGCTGTGTCTTACCTCTCCATCCTGTTATCCTTCTGTTCCTCCCACTTTGCCCTCTTTTGTAATAAATCTTTACTTTGCTTGCCATTGGCAATGAAAATGACCACCAGACCTTTTTATTTCTTGATAATCATAAACTGATGTTTCCGTTTTGTGAGAGAAAACTTAAACTTTTGTGCTTAAACTTTTGTGAAACAAATTCTTTAACTTTATCATGCAGGGTTTGAAGCCCCTCTCCCTCTTGAAACCTCACTACAGATTAAACAATCTGTTTGTTTCTATCTTGTTGTCATTAACAAAAAGCTAGTAGTGCTTGTTGTGGTAAGTGATATGTATTGATTGTGCCAGGTGGCTCTTTCACAGAAGAGTGTGTTAGGTGAGACGAGAGGATTGTGTCCTGGGCAGTTGTGCAATACATCAAGGAATTTCTTTTAAATTAAACATATCATAGGTTGCAATCAGATGACAATGCTCATTTCCCCCCTCACCTTAAAAACTCCCCAAGACAAGATGAACATATGAACAAAGCTTAATCTCCCCTCCAATCACTTCTCCATAATAAAAAAAAAAAAAAAAAAAAAAAGCAAACCTTTGGTTCAATACCTTTTTCCTGTTTATTTAAAGATCAAAATTGATGTATAGTGCATTTCATATTGTATAGCTTTTGTTCAATCCCATTTCTTTAGGAGATATTGGTTAAAGGGGAGATTGCGTCCTGGGAAGGGACATCACCAGTTATAGGGCTGAAATGGCATAAGAAAAGACTAGGGAAGACTGCTAATACTCACACATAGGTATGCTTGTGTGCAGAAATGCCTCCCAGCTTCAGGGATAGTTCTTTGAAATTTTATACAAAATTAATGATTAGTTTAAGTTAGCTTAAGTCCTCAATTATTATTTTTAATTTCCATTATCCAGAGTTGATTATATTAAGATTTATTCGGACATTTTATAATTACATTAACTTGTTTACTAATTTACATCGATTAAATCTGCACCTGCAGGGCTGTCGTGTGCAGTAGTTGGGGAGGCCATTAGGGAATTAGTATCATTGCTTTGAAGTGGGTCAACCATATTTGATACCCAGACCAGTTGGTCTGCGGATCATCTTTTCTGCATGCGGCCCAATATCAGCATCCCAAGACTTTTGGTCCATCATTATCGTAGTTACAGTAGACATCCTGATAGTAGACAAGAAAGCATTGTGATGCAGCCATATACAGTCAAGTTGTTATGACTCTGCTGAAGGATGTGAATTTGGCTTTTGGTATTAATATTGCTGGGGAATTTTGCTGTCATTTTTCTCCTCTTGGTTATAAAGCACCCTTGCTTTACTTCAAACATAACATAGTTTAAGGTGGGGGAGGGGGTAATGTTTGCAATTCCTGTTTCCTTCTTTTTGGCAGACATTTTGATTTGGTGGGTGCTTGGATCCTTGAGGTGTCTTTCTCTTTCCTCCATTCTGGACTCACTGTGGCATAAAAATATTAGAAGATCCAGAAACTCAAAAATTCAAAGGAAAAAATGTGAGCCAAATGAATAGAAACTTGACTTTTTTCTCACTTTCTCTTGATTTGTTTGGGAAAAAAATCTTATTTATGCCAGGATGAGCCAATGTTTTAAGGTCTGTTAAAATGAGGCCCCTTTCCCCCCCCCCCCCCCCCCCCCCCCTTTAGCCCACAACAGTCACCCCCACCCCTATAGCCCACGGCTCTCTCAGAGAGTCCTTATTGTTCGAATGTCGCAATTTTCTTCCGTTTAACAGACCAATCCAAACCCTGTACAGCAGGTATTAGTGCATGTGTGTGTGTCTGTGTAATGGCATTATTATGGCTTACTCCTCATGGTCCTTCTCTCTCTCTGCTGTTTTGCACCCTGCAGGATTCAGAAGGGTGGGCAAGAGTTCACGCCGGAGACCCTCCACCTCCAGAACCCCCGGGCACGGAGACTGGACTCCCAGGGACGCGTTATGAAAGAAAAACTGCTGTACACGGATGAGATCGAACTTGGCATTGACCCAGATTCTCGCCCAGAGGATATTCCCGAACCTGACTGTGCGCAGAACGGGAGTAGCAGGCATTCTGGGAGTGGGGAATATTTCTCCAGCGAGGCAGAAAATGAGAGGAATGAGGTTGCCAGCAGTGAAGTGCGACCCGTGATGTCAACTTTTACTACTTAAATTGATCAACAGCTGGATAGTTTTTTCTCTGTGATACTTCTTTCTTATCCAACCATCGTATTATATAGTTATCCTAGTTTATGTGACTTAATCCCAAGAAACTTACAATGCCACTTATTTTAGCAAGTCCATATTATAAATGTGAACAAACTTGACGTTACAGTCATTTCTGTTCTTTTCACATAAATTAATTTCTGGCTTAGTTGGTCTGAAGTTGAAAAGATTAATGGATTGTTATTAAATCCCTCAGTGTTAAAATCTTTGTTATTGTGTTAAAGTGTTTTTAACACAAATGAATGCCTGGGAATGCCTTAGTGTCACAAGTACAGATTGGGACAATGGGGAAAATATTGCATTTTATCAGACAATATAGAAATAATTTTACAATGAGTCAAGTCAGCTATCAGCATATTTCTAAGAGCGCATTCAGGACAGCAGACCAACAGATCTGCGGATCAAATAAGGCTCACCTACTTGAATGCTTGTTGCGTAATCCCTGTGGGGAATCTATTCCGTGTCTAATTGGGAATTAAGCAGCAAGCTTTTTTAAAAGGTCATCATATTTGATCCGCGGATCTGTTAGTCTGCTGTTCTGAATGTGCTGTATGGCCCTCTTCACATTGAGGTATACACTTAACGGGATGGATCCATTTTTACAGGCGCTGCATGTAATATGTGAATGTACTTCTGGAGATTGGGGGGGGGGGGGGTTAAAGGGGGGGGGTTAATAGAAGGGGTGACTCCCTTTCACAAGTTGGCTTCCTGCTGTTATATTACCTTGATTATTTTAGGGTGGATGGAGGCTGTCTTCTGGAAGATGGTCAGAATCTTTCAAGTTAACATTGACAGGCATCTAATTAAATGAACAAGTAGTATATCTCGATGAAATAATGAATTGTATTAGATCTGACTGTTTCTCAGTGTCATTGTCAAAATGATATTTTTTATTGAAAACTTGAAATGGATTTACTTTGGTGTCTTCAATTAAAAATATATTCAGTAAAAAAGTGTAAGATTATCTAAAGTTAATTTTTGATAACCCTTAACAGAAAAGGGAAAAAAATTACTGTGAAAGTTCTCTGTGATGTAGGAAAGCATCCCTCAGTGTTTGCCAGAGGTGTGTGTTTAACGTCATCACAAAGCAATTACAGCCATGTGTTTTGAGATGTGCAATTTTGCTGTATGTTATCTATACAAATTACTTTGTAAAAATGGTGCCGCAAGGCAGAGAGCAGAAGAAACCACAGAAGGTATTAAGGGTGTGTTCCCTGTGAAGCTGCTGTCCTACTAGTACCTTGATCGATCCAACTCTGTGGAGACTCTCGCTGAATGCAATAAGATTAACACGCCTCCTCTTGTTTTCAATGTACTCATATAATCACCAGTGTCTGTTGCGGTTTATTAAATTATTCAGCTATTGTTTAGAGCTGTTACTGAATGACTCATGTTTGTGTGTAAACAGCTCCACTGAAGCCTATTTCAGGTTTAAAGGGATAATAACTCTTTGTTTTGGCCAAAAAATGAATTTTCCTGGAGAAAAACAACAATTTTCCCATACTTACCAAAGGTTAATGAATCCATTTTTACTTTCAAAGTTAGTCCCTGGTTTTTTTCTAAAAAGTTTGGTTTTTTGTTAAAATATCTTAAGAGATTATAACAGAGTACAGCCATCAATGGAAGTCACGTGATCTGAAGACAAGTTCAGATATCAGAATAATAGCTATAACTGCTGTTTTTGTGGTAAAACAGAATATATCATATTTCTATGAGTTGTTCGCAATGTTTTTATTGTGAAATAAAGATATCATATGAAGAGATATTATCCCTTTAAGTCTGTATATTTATGAATGTTAAAAAAAGGTTGCTCACTTCAGTTTAAAACATGTCACAAGTCCATGAAATTGTATCCACTTTGGTTTGAAAGAGATTGACGTATTTCATTACTACCTCACTGTAGAACTAAGATCTTCAACACTATTTTTGTTTTAAGACACAAGTAACTTAAATATTCTTGAGGGAAACTTGTTGTTATATATTTCTGTAAATGCCATGTACTCCTATATGAAATAGTGAAATAATTATAGTAAAGAAGGTGTGTATATACCTGCATGGTATTTTCCTGAAGGCACAGAAATGACAAAGGTTTAACTTTTGTGGGAAGGGGAAAGGCATTTCTGGGAAGTTTTGTTAAACCACATTATAAATCATAATGGTCAGAAGATACAACCCCAAGCATTTTGGTCACATGTAGATTTTGACAATTTTTCAAAAAATATATCAGAGATTGATCACAATTACACCAAAAGTGGGTGTACCACTGGCACAAAGCATGTTTATTTTCAATCAAAGTCCAAGCTACTGATAAACTCCCACTTGACAACAAATATGCTTCCATTACTGCCACTTCATCATCCCCTTGTCATTCTATGTTAAAATACATAAGCCTTTACTTAAATATATTTACCAAGTGATATTACAAATTTATTTGTAGTACAAAATAATTTTTTTATTTTCAAATTTGTATTGCTATTCTGTTTCTATCAAAATTTCTCTGAAGCTATATGCCTGTCTGTATGCTCTCATTAGATAACACACTGCCATTAGTAAAGTGTTGAAACTAAGAATATTATATGCTATGAGACCCTTAGGTGTATTTTTATTAATGCAACAATGCATGTGCTACTAAGTTAGGTCATGACTTTGTAAATTTAAGCAACCTCTCCAAAGGAAAAAGATGAATAAAGTAAAATTATTTTTAAAAAATGTTTGTTACCAAATGTTCTGTAAGTACGAATTTCTTTAAAACTCTGGTACTAAAGTTTTGAAAAGTTAGTTGGTTTTCTGTTGGAGAAAACGCTGTTATGAGTTTTTAAAAATGATAAATTATAAAAGAGGAAAACAATCAATTCAGCTGTTTGGAATTTTTTAGTAACTGGAGTATCAGGAATGACCTTTATTGTGTCAGTACTACAACATCTTACCTGGCAGTTACAAAAACTTGAGATGTTTCAGAATAAACAAATAAATAAGTAAATAAACAATTATCTTTTTATGTTTTGGGCATAATTGATATTTTAAAATGATGTGAACAACACAAAAAGACATTCTAATGTAAAAAAGATACACATGGATTAAAAATACTCTGCTGTGTATAATACAAATGTTGCAGGCTGGCAAACGGCTACCAAAGCCAGACTTAAAAGGAAAAATAAAAAACAAAAACGAAGTACACCTTTGATAATCTTTATCTGAATTAGGGTTTTGTTGTCTTGAGGGTTTTAATTGAGAAATACAGTGGGAATACAAGAAGCTTTATAAGACACTAATATGACTATGGGCGATTTTTCAAAAGCGTGGAGATAATTTCCGCACATTAATTTGGCAAGAAAATCCCTTGACCTCCACCCCCCCAAAAAAAAAATAGAATTGATGAGGGAAAGGAAAAAGACAAATATATATATATATATATATATATATATATATATATATATATATTATTTGTCTTGTTTGTCCTGTCTTGTTATAAATCCTACGATGCATCCGGCAGCTTACTTTACAATCACATCCAGTCTGCAGTCTGTACCCTGCTCTCATACTACAGGGACTGTCAACTCCGGCAGGAATGGTAGCCTCATCGCTTTGTACTGGGGCACTAACTGCGATTTTCAAGTGGACAGGTTTGGTAATGCACTGCAGTGGCGGATTTAGAGGGGATGGGGTGTCAGGAGGGTCGTGACCCCCCCCCCCCCTCTTGGAAATTATCGTTTTGACTAGCTGAATCATAGTTCTAAACCATACCTAAGGGCACCGTTTGGCATCCAAAACAAAAAATTGGGGGCGATGGTCGGCTTCGCATCCGAGGCTTGTCGTTCAGGACC